GTTTTAAGATTTTTTCTTTATCTTTTGTTTTCAACATTCCTTGGTGTGATTATCTATATATTTATCCTGCTTGGGTTTAGTGAACTTCTGTAGGTTGGTTGATATTCTCAGCCATTATTTTTTGTTGTTGTTTTCTCCATTCTTCATCTTTACTACTTTTGAGATTCTAGTGACATATAGGAGGCCAATACTGTCCAGACATTTCTTAATTTGGATCCAGTTTTTAAAAAACTTTTTCCTCTGTTTTATTTATTTGTTTATTGCTTTTTATTTAATTTCATGTTTTTTGAATCTTTGTTCAGTCTTGTTTTCTGGTTAGCATATGCTGGCTTATGAGTCAACAATATTTTCTATGATAATGCTCTTTTCACTGTTTGCCTTTTTGTATTTCTGTCTGTGCTGAAATTCCCCATCTGCCCACACATGTTTAATCTTTTCCATGAGCTCTTTTAACTAATTTGTAATAGTTATTTGAAAGTTCCCTTGTCTGGCAACTCCAGTATCTTGGCTATCCTTGGGTTTGGTCTGTTTTTCTCTTGATGATGGATTGAATTTTCTTGTTTGTGTATCACACTTTTTTTTTTAAACTCGAATATCATGTATTACCTATAAAAGGCTGGTTTTGTGGGGTAGTTGTTAACCTGATTAACATTTCCTTTTGACTTCATGTCATATGAAGCTGTTTATAACAATTTTTCAAGTGTTACTTGGCATATGGCTTTAAGACAGTGATTACCTATCATAGAATTGTAGTTAATTTGCTTATTTTAAGTGCGATCTTGATTTTTCAATAATCTTGTATTTTGAATTACTTCAAACCTGAATTACGCATAATCCAGTTGCTTTCCTCATTAGGAGTTTCCCTCTCTACCTGGGATTAATTGTACCTTCCCTTGCTCCTCCCCCCCAGCCATTTAGAAAGAATGACATCTTCCCAGAATTTATCCTGAGTCATTCATTACACATTGAGCCATTTTCTTCCACTGTGGCCTCAGGTGACCCTCGGGTCAAGGAGCTGCTGGAGCTGCAGTCATCGGAGCTGCACATGGTGTCTTTTTTCTAAATGGATTTTGGGAAAATGGCCTAATTTTATGGAGATTTTTCAGTTACAGGGACTGAAAAAGTATTTGGGGTGAGCCATAAAATCAGTAGCTACAATACTTAATGCTCTGGGTCATGTGGTGAGTTGAATTTTTATTTAATTTGTTTAAAAAAGTAGAACGTATTAAGTAGCAAGAAAAGTTGGTATTTTTAAGTAGGTATTCTGATATGTTAGATAAGACAGAGTATATTTAAGAAACATTTTTGTAATCCTTACCACATCATCATTAAATAATACGGTGGGTGCTGTTACTCAGAAGGTTGCTGGTTTTTGTTCTCATCTCCTTGAGGACCTTTTTTTTTTTTTACAACAGTTGTAAGATTTATTGCAGCAAGACTTCAAGCAGCAAAGCGAAAGCAGTTACAGCCTAGCTCTAGAGATCGCCTTGAAGCGTGCCTGGGAGAATCTTGAGGACCTTTTTGTCCTGTTTTTTCCATCTCCTCAGTTGGGTGCTCATTCCCTGTTAGCAAAGGTCAAGGACTGTGGAAGTTTAGGGATGGCATTTATTTTATCAGTGAAAAGACACTGCCTTTTCAAGCAGGTATCTGATTGGTGCTCAGCAAGGGAAGAAAGCAGTTTTTTCAAGGTGTTCTACTTCAAATTGTCCCCATGCCAGAACCCTTGAGTATATATTACACTGTCGTCTTTCCTAACTGAAACGTAGACAAGAGAACCAAGCAACTTTGTTTTTTTGGCTTAGGTAGCTTTATCATAATATGGGGTACCTACAACAGAACTGTTGATTTAAGACAATTTAAGTAGTGTTAATGTGGATAGATTTTCTTGTATCTTTGTATCTATCAAATGCACTTATTAGTGTTATGGAAAGGATTTTTCTAATGTTGCTTTGTAATTAACTACATTACACAGTTCTGTTTAAGGAGTGTTTTATTAAGCAAAAGACTTAATTTTGTGAGTTAACTATACCTTGCCAATGAATCTTAAGTAAAGCTCAAGTTCCAATTTCTCAATTTGTCAGGGCACTACACAAAATAGAATTCTTTCAGGAATATTGGAGCACTTTCTTTTCTTTTTCCTTCTTTGTTTTTAAAGATTTGTTTTTATTGGAAAGGCAGATCTGTAAGAGAGGAGAGAGAGAGAAAGATCTTCCATTTACAGGTTCACTCCCCAAGTAGCTGCGACAACTGGAGCTGCTGATCTGAAACAAGGAGCCTCTTCTGCGTCTTCCTTGAGGTTGCAGAGCCCCAAGCCTTTGGGTCATTCTTGACTGCTTTCCCAGGCCACAATCAGGGAGTTGGATGGGAAGTGGAGCAGCTGGGACATGAACTGGAGCCCCTATGGGATCCCAGCATTTGAAGGGGAGGATTAGCTAATTGAGCCATTGTGTTGCACCCAGAGAACCTATTTTCATAGAAAACATGTAAAAATTCTTTAAAAAGAGCTTTTTTTGAAACCTTTTAATATTTTCCAAGTGCCAGAGGGCACAAGATCTTTTTTTAAAGATTTATTTATTTTTATTGAAAATCTGATATACAGAGAGGGAGATAACAGAGAGGAAGATCTGCTGATTTATTCCCCATGTGGCTGTAACAGCCAGGGCTGAGCTGATCCGAGGGCAGGAGCCAGGAGCTTCTTCTGAGTCTTGAACATGGATGCAGTGTCCCAAGGCTTTGGGCTGTCCACGACTGCTTTCACATGCCACATTCAGGGAGCTGGATGGAGGTGGAGCAGCAGGGACATGAATGGATGCTCATATGAGATCCAGATGTGTGCAAGGCAAAAAATTTAGTCACCAGGCTACTGTGCTGGGCCTGAGTTTATTTCTTTCTCTTTTCTTTTCTTTCTTTCTTTTTTTTTTTTTTTAAAGATTTATGTATTTTTTTAAGAAGCAGAGTTACAGAGAAAAAGAGCGAGAGAGCGATTTCACCTGCTGGTTCACTCCCCAAATGGCTACAACTACCGATAGTGGGCAAAGCTGAAACCAGGAGATCCTTCTAGGTCTCCCACACAAGTGGCAAGGGTCTAAGTACTTGAGTCATTTCTGCTGTGTCCCAGCTATATTAGCAGGACGTTGGAATGGAAATGGAACAACCTGGGCTTGAACCCACACCTGCATGGTGTGCCATTGTTGCAGGAGGCAGCTTAATCCACTGTACCAAAGTGGTTCCCTTGAGTTTATTCTTAATGACTATAGATGCTCAAGTAGTGTGGGTAAGATTATGATAGGCCTTGTCAGCTGAGAAAACAGCACATGTGAAAGTATAACTACACTTGAAAAATTTTCTAGAGTGTTAATGATTATGGTTAATGGATTTAGTTTTTGGCTGAGCAAATTGCAGATATGTTTTAAGTCTGACCCCTTCCCCCTTCTCCCTCCCAAGGATGAGCATGGGGACTTTCTTCCAGATGACATATTTCAGGTGTATTGAATGAATACCAACTTCAGGAAATTGTACTGATGGCAAAATTACAGGTGTACTTTTGACCTTGATAAGGCTGGATTTCTGAATAGATTTTAGAAGGAAAAGCAGTCTCTGTGAAGAATTATAATTGGACTCTTCCATGTCCATAAGTGCCCATGAAAATACACTTGTGTGTGGGCCCATAAATAAGCCTTAATTTACTGACTACTAAAAGTGAAAATGTAAAATTTATTTTTATCAGCCATGTTTCATGGTCCATAATGTCTCTGTCAGGAAAGCTGGCCCTCCAGAACTTGTCCCGAGGAGAAACTGTGGCACCTATGAGAGTGTCACACGAGGCACTCTGCTTTTCTGACTCTGAGTTGATAAAGATTGTGTCTTTCATGGACCTTCTGTGTTGTTTTGTTATGTATGATAAGCAAAGAGTCCTTTGGGAGTTAAAGCAGTTCAGTTGTGTCTAGCTTCTGTTTCCTGGTTACCCTATGCCAGTTCTCATGGTTTACCTGGTTTTCCTTTGTCAGCAAGTACTCATGTTCACCTATTTCCATGCTGTTCCAGAATGTGGTAGTAGTAGTGTTTTTAGATCTAGAGTGCTTGTTTAAATAAAGAATGATTCTTTATGAAATAGAGGAATACTAATCAGGGAAATTCTTTTGTTGGAAGTCTACCAATTTAGTAATGTTTATTAAATGTCCTATATGTGCTAGGCAATATTACAGGTTTAAAGAAATATACCATTGAGTGAGGTATATTCAAGGTAAATGCTTGCCTGAAAAGAACTTAAATTCCATTGGGAAAAGAAAATAATAAACCTGATGGTACTTCAAAATTTATAGGAAAATACAAAGGTAAAATTTTGAAATCCATGCATAGTTTTTTTCAGAGTACTCATTTTTGTGAACTTTTTAAAGACTCAATATATGCATGGATTTTAAAAAATCACTGTACCAAAAATAACCTTAACTTTTAATTCCATTTCATGAACTTTTTGAAATACCCTTGTGTAATTTAAGAAATAAGTCATGGCTGTTGGGTGATGGGAGCTGCTGTGGGGTAAGGACAAATACTGGCCCCAAGGTGCTACAGTGAGGGTGGGTCAGGCTGAGGCTGCTCGAGAGGTAACCTGCTTACCAGGCCTGGGAGGAGTGACAGGTCACCTGAGTATCTGGGGAGGAGTGTTCACATGGAGGGAACAGCCAGTACAGAAGCTTTCAGTCTGTTGTTGTTAGGAACATGGTCACCGTAGCTTGGGGCAGCCAAGTGATTTCTAGGAGATGAAGGCAGAGGTCATGGGCTGTGAGTACTTGGGTGTAACTGCAAGTAAACGGTAAGAGCAATACTGCAGGGTTTCTCAGAGATCCAGGTCAGGAGAAGGTAAGCAGTCAGAGGAAGGCTCTGTCTGTAAAGTCGAGTCTTTGGAGACCATAACTAATGCATATCCAGTAGATATAGAGATTATAGAAAGATATTATAAAGTTCTTTGCTGATATTTTCTACTTTATTTTTGATTATAGGGACTTTCAGTTACCTTGATGATGTCCCATTTAAGATAGGAGACAAATTCAAAACACCAGCTAAAGTTGGTCTACCTATTGGCTTCTCCTTGCCTGATTGTTTGCAGGTTGTCAGAGAAGTACAGGTAAGTGGTGATTTTTAGTTTAAGTTTAGTACATTTAAGATTTTAAAAAGTAAGCATTTTATGTTTAGTGAAATAGAACAACCTTTATTATCTCTTATTTATATTCCTGATAGTTCCTGGCTCACATGATTGCACGCATATGTACATAAATCTGTTTTATACACTCAGGCACATGTATTTTGTGTACTTTGTGTAATATGGTGGGTCGTGTATTCCTGGGTCTCTGCCTTGCACAGAACAAACTCCCGTTGCCCATGTAACTGTCATTTTTGCCCCTACTCCCTTCTCTGCCCATGTCCTTCTTATCTTCTCACTCAGTTTAGGTAATAATCTTTTGCTGTGTTGTATGTTCCACCCCTGCCTTACTTTACACATATGTTAATGCATTGGCCTCTTTAATTAGCCCCTTTGCTAGTAGTATTTTCCATGTTGTTTCTAGAATACTATCCTTAGCATTTTAAATTGTTACACCCCTGTTAAACTGCTTAGTGAATCACCAGTCCTTATTGAATTTAGTGTAGACTGTGGCAGAGCACCTTAGCTCATCCTCTCCACATTTTCTCCAAACCAGGTTACATTACTTTGTTGCACAAATCTTGTACCTTACCTCCCTGTGCCCTGCCTTTTCTCATGAGCTACTCTCTCCACCTGGCATATTCCTCTCTTTTTGCCTTATTAAAAGCTATCATTACCTACTTATTCTTCTAGACTTGTGCTTAAATATCATTTCTGCAGGACTTCTTTCTTAACCCTCTCATCTTTAAATTCAGTTGTATGATAAATGTACTGAATTAGTGCTGGAAAGCAGCAAGCAGTGCTGTGTCATTTGCTTCCTGTAGTGTGCACTTGTCGGTGGCCTGCTTTGGAGGGGAGTTCTGCTGGCCCAGAACACAGAGCTGCTTGCCTGGATCACTGTCTCTTAAAAGGAGTTTTATTTCTGGGGATTTACTAAGCTATCCCCTTGTTACTTTAGGAAGTATTCTTGGTCTTCCCTTTCTAGAGTTCATATGCTTTGATGAATCGTAATAGAACTTTAGTTACTTTAAAAATTTTTTTTCTCAGGGGACTTGAACTGGCACTGCAATGTGGATTGCTGGTCATTGCAAGCGTTGCTTGCTCCATTGCAAGTGGAGGCTTAACCATTTGTACCACAATGACAGTCTCTCACATAGTACTTTTTTTTTTTTAATTTTAAGATTTATTTGTTTTATTTTGCTTCAAAGTCAGAGATACAGAAAAAGGGTGGGCAGGACGGAGGAAGGGAGGGAGAGAATCTTCCAGTTTACTGATTGATTTCTCAAATGGCAGCAATGACCCAGAGCTGGGTTGATCTGAAGCCAGGAGTCAGGAGCTCCCTTTGTTTCTCCTATGGGGTACAGGAGCCCAGGGCTTTGGGGCATCTTCTGCTGTCTCCTGGGCACATCAGCAGAGAGCTGGATTGCAAGTGGAGGAATAGAGACATGAAATGGTGCCTATATAGGATGCTAGTGCGGCAGATGGAGGATTAGCCTTCTGTACCACTGTGCCAGTCACTCACATAGCACCTTTAAACTTGACTTTCTAAGGGATTTGGCTGTGGTCCTCATCAGAATGAGAGCCCTAGACGACTGGCTTGAAGCTTTCTGTAATTTTTATTTTTATTTGAGAGGCAGAGAGAGCTAGAATGACAAAGTTTTCATCTGCTGCTTGTTGACTCCCCAAATGGCTGTCATGGTTGGAGCTGTGCCAGTGCAAAGCCAGGAGCCAGAAGGTTCTTGTGGGTATCCCACATGGGTATAGGAGTCCAAGTACTTATACCATCTTCTGCTGCTTTTTCAGGTCATTCAGCAAGGAGCTGGATCGAAAGTGGAATAGCTAAGGCTAGAACCGGAGTCCACATGGGGTGCAGATACTGTAGGCATAGGCTTAACCTGCTACACCATGGTGCTGGCCCCAGTAGTAAAAACTTGTCGGTTAAAATTCCATCAAGAGAAGCTGTTACAACATACTTGGTGTTTTGTATCTTGGTGTCTGTCTAGAAAGCTTCCATTTGAATGGAAGCACTTTGTGTCATGGTTTAGAACCGAGTCGGGTTACATATGTACAGTAGATGCAGTGGCTATGAAATAGTTATGTAATCTTATAAAGATTTATTAAACTCTCCAGGCCTCCATTTCCTTATTTAAAATGGCAATAATGAGCTTGTATAGTTGTCCATAAAGATTAAAATGGTAAAATAATCCTGTGTTAGTCTGTATGGTGTGGCTATTAACAAAGCACCTGAGGATACATGTTTCATACAGACTTCATACACACTTTTGAAGGCTGTAAGTCTGGGGCTACACTGTTCCTTTTAGTCTCTGCTGCTGTTGCCTTGTAAGTGCATCAGAATGTGAGGCCGCTGGCCACATGCGGAAGGCTTCCAGCAGGGGAAGACCATGGAGTGAAATAGGAACCAAGAGGAAACTCCTGGGAGCTTCCAGATTGTGACCAGTGGTTTTGTGGGCTTTTTCTCAGTTTAGGGGTTTAGAGAAGGAAGAAATAATAATGTGGGGGAAAAAAAAAGATGTTTTGAAGAGCAAGAAAGCACTCCTTCAAGAAAAACAGTTGTATCTCCTAGTCACCTGTATTTGGTCCCACCTGTCCGAAGCTCCACCACCTCTGCCACCATGAGTTTTCTAGGGACAGATGCCATCCAAATCATAGCAATCTCCTTGTCCTGCACACTTAGGTTCCCAATCCTGCTGTGGGTGCCTGAGACCCCAAGTGGTGCTAAATTCCGTATGTAAGCAATTACTGCCCAAGCAATTGATTTGATAACCATGATGAGAGAGTAGCGTTTACGTTTGGCTATCCTGGATAATGGGGTGATTTACATTCTGAGTGAGATGGAGCAGGAAGGTGCCAGATTTAATCATATTGCTCAGAATGGCACAGAACTCCAAAATTAAAATTTCTGGAATTAAAAAAATATTTATTTATTTGAAAGGTACAGTTATGGAAAGAGAGGGAGAAAGAGAAAAACAACCATCTATCTGCTGGCTCAGTCCTCAAATGGCTGCAGTGGCTGGAGCTTAGCTGGTCTGAAGCCAGGAGCCAGGAACTTTTTCTGAGTCTCCATATAGGAGACACCTGGGCCCTCTTCTGCTCTTTCCCAGACCCATTAGCAGGGAGTAGGATCAGATGTGGAGCAGCCAGGACTTGAACTGAAGTATTGTTAATGATGCCAGTGCCATAGGTGGCAGCTTTTACCCAGTATGCCACAGTCCAGACCCCATTTCTGGAATTTTCCAGTCAGTATTTAAGGACTGTAAATGACTACAGGTAAGTGAAGTTATGGAAAGCTAAACCACAAGGAATTGTTGGCTAAGATGCTTGCATGTTCCAAGTATTCTGCATTACTTTAATTTTCTTAAAAGCTTCATAAAATTTGCTAGGAAAGGAAAGAAATTTGTAATTATAGTTGTTCTTTGAACAAAACTTTAGAGGTCTGTGTTGATAGCATGGGAAGTTGGTTACAACTTTTATTTATTTATTTATTTTATGAGTTATTTATGTTTATTGGGAAGGCAGAGTTAACAGAGAGAGGAGACAGAGATTTTCCATCTGCTGGTTCACTACCCAAATGGCTGGAATGGCCAGAGTTGGACTAGTCAAGGAGCCAGGAATTTCTGGGTCTCACGTGGGTACAGGGACACAAGGACCTAAGCCAGCCTTTTCTGCTTTTCCTGGCCATAAGCCTGGAACTAGATCGGAAATGGAGCAGCCTGGACTCATGCTGGTGCCCATATGGGATACTGGTGCTGCAGATGGAGACAGCCCGTTACATCACCACACTGGCCTCACAGTTTCTATTTTTAATTGCTGTTAGCCGGTTGCCAAATTGTATTGCATCCCCTTCCCCGCCCCCCACAAATAGAAGCAGTGAAGTCTTTGCCCAGTGCTGCTTTTTTACATCTGTAGTGGCAGAAAGCAGGCAAGAGGATACCCCTGGGGCCTTTCTGGGCACCCCAGATGGCTCAGTGGCCAGTGAACTTCTTGACACGCATCAGTTGTAGGCTTCTTGTTAGAAGCCGAGGGGCTTGGGATGGCCAGAGACCTTTATGTTTCTTCTGCTTTGAAATGCTTATCTTACTGAGGCATAATTATTTCCTCTGTTCTCCTCCCATCCTTTTTTTAACCATTGATGTGGCTCCAATCTTGATGTACCAGCATTGTTTGTATCGATTGCTTTAGAGTGAATTCTAAAATGTGTTTTCCCCGTCCAGTGTAAATTTTGCTTTAATGTTTTCTAAGCATGCAGATGAAAATGTTGTAAATTGAGCTATACTTTAAGAGATTGTAAAGGAATCATGAGGTGAATACAGTTTGCTGTATGAAATCTTAAACACAGTTTTGGGTTTTTTTCTTTTTTTTTTTATCTGAGACATGGAGGGAGGGAGGAAAAGCTCCCGATGCCAGGGCTGCTGGTTCACCCTCTAGATGCTCACAAGTGCAGATCTCCTAGCTTGAACTGTCACTTCATCCTCCCTTGTTTTGTGGGAAGTTGGAGTCAGGAACCACAGCCAGGCACTTTGAAGAGGGATGAGGGTGCTGCAACAGCTGGGCTAAATACTGACTCTGCTCCCAAGGTGGCTTTTTTTAAAATAGTTGGGCAGTGGTTCTCTTTTCCATTTAAAAATATATATATATACATATATTTTTACAAAATTGGATATACAGAGACAGAGAGGAATATCTTCTGTCCAATGATTAACTCCCCAAGTGAGTGCAACGGCTGGTGCTGTGCCGATCCGGAGCCAGGAGCCAGGAACCTCTTCCAGGTCTCCCACAAAGGCGCAGGGTCCAAAGGCGTTGGACCGTCTTCGACCGCCTTCCCAGAGCACAAAGGAGGGAGCAGGATGGCAAGTGGAGCTGCTAGGATTAGAACTGGTGTCCATATAGGATCCTGGCTCGTTCAAGGCGAGGACTTTAGCCACTAGGCCACGGTACTAGGCCCTCTCTTTTCCATTTTAAATTACTTTTTTGTCCTAAAATCTCAAGTGTTGGTTTAACGTTGTATTTTTTCTAAATGTTATAAAAGAGAAACAGCTAGAAATCTTCTGTCTGCTGGTTCACTCCTTCAGTGCCTATAGCAGACAGTGCTGAGTCTGGCATAAGCCAGAAGCCTGAAACCCCATTCCAGGCTCCCTAGAGGGTGGCAGGAACCTGGATATTTGGGCCATTCCTTCTGCCTTTGAGGTGCTTCAGGGTGTTTTGTTGAAAGTGCACACTCTGGGGCTTGAAGCAGGCACTTTGCTGTGGGGTACAGGTTTTTGAAGCAGTAGCTTCACTTGCAGCACCATGCTGCCTGCTCACTCTCATCCGACAGTGGTTTAATGCACAGGAGCTATACTTGTTTGGCCTGGAATCAGATTCAGGCCGCACCAGCGCGCTTACTAGTATTGTGATCTTGGGGGTTGCCTGTGCAAATGGAGACTGCTGAAGACAGTTGAGTCTCAGTAATGACTTTAAAGGGTTGTCAAGGAAACCCCCGAGGTAATACACAAAAGGTGCTTGGGGATGCATGACGTCTTGTGTTTCTCAGATGTTGGAGGCGTCATTGCTGAGCATGTGGCTGTTTAGAACACTGGGCTAGGTAGTAGAAACCAAGCGAGGCTGTAACAGAGGTGCTGGCCACAAGAGGTTTGTGATGTCCCTGGCACGGGGTGTGGTACCAGGTGGCTGACCAAATTCAGAAGAAACACCTGATCATCTGGGAGACTTGGTAGAGGAGGGAGGGGGCTGTGCTGTGCTGGAGCCACAGATGGAAAGTTCTGGGCCTGGAGATGACCTGAGGGAGAGCAGCAAAGGCCGTGCAGAGTCTGTGTGGCCTGGGGTGTCAGGCTGCAGGTGGTGGGAGTGCTTTCTGCTTCTCTGACAAGTCACCTGGGAACCCAGTGAGGTCAGACCGTAAGGACGTTGGATACCTCAGCCTGCTGAATGGGGATCGTCTCGCACGTCCTGAACTCTGCCTGCCCAGGGTCTTCCCTGTGCAGGCCTGAGCGACCTGGGTGGGGAGAGGGTGGCCACCTGCATTCACACCTCCTTTCTCTGCCACATCTTTGCAGTATGACTTCTCCTTGGAAAAGAAGACCATCGAGTGGGCCGAGGACGTTAGGAAGATCCAGGACGCCCAGCGGGAAGCAGAACGCAAGGCTGAGGAGGCGGAAGCTAAAGTCAATTCCAAGAGTGGCCCAGAGGGCGATAACAAAATGAGCTTCTCCAAGACTCAAAGTATAGCCACAATGCCACCTCCTATTAACCCCATCCTTGCCAGCCTGCAGCACAACAGCATCCTCACTCCAACCCGGGTCAGCAGTAGTGCCACGAAGCAAAAAGCCCTCAGCCCCCCACACACAAAGGCAGATTTCAATCCTGCCGACTTTGAGTGTGAAGAGGACCCATTTGATAATCTGGAGTTAAAAACCATTGATGAGAAAGAAGAGCTGAGAAACATTCTAGTAGGAGCCACGGGACCCATTATGGCTCAGTTATTGGACAGTAACTTGCCCAGAGGTGGCTCCGGGTCCGTGTTACAGGATGAGGAGGTCCTGGCATCCTTGGAGCGGGCAACCCTAGATTTCAAGCCTCTTCACAAACCCAATGGCTTTATAACCTTACCACAGTTGGGCAACTGTGAAAAGATGTCGCTGTCTTCCAAAGTGTCCCTCCCCCCGATTCCTGCAGTAAGCAATATCAAATCCCTATCCTTCCCCAAACTTGACTCTGATGACAGCAATCAGAAGACAGCCAAACTGGCAAGCACTTTCCACAGCACATCCTGCCTCCGCAGTGGCACGCTCCTCAACTCCTTCAAGCCTTCCACCCAAAGCAGTGCCAGTGAGCTCAATGGGCATCATACCCTTGGGCTTTCAGCTTTGAACTTGGACAGTGGCACCGAGGTGCCCACCCTTGCACCCTCCCAGACGCCTTCCCACTCAGTCTTGTCTGTGTGCACAGAAGAGTCATCACCTCCACAGGCAGGCTCCGCGGTGAGTTTTAAATCCAACCCCTCCCCATCCTGCCAGAGTCCCAGAGATTTGTAAATTCCTAGCTGCTGCCTCCTTTATATATATGTATGTTTTAAGATTTATTTTAATTTTTATGATTTTTTATTTTTTATTGCAAAGTCAGTTATACAGAGAGGAATATCATTTGTCTGTTGATTCACTCCCCAAGCGGCCGCAATGGCCAAAGCTGTGCCGATCCGAAGTCAGGAGCCTCTTCCGGGTCTCCCACGTGGGTGCAGAGTCCCAAGGCTTTGGATCATCCTCAGCTGCTTTCCCAGACCACAGGCAGGAAGCTGGATGGAAAGCAGGGCTGCTGGGATTAGAACCAGTGCCTATATGGGATCCTGGTGTGTGCAAGGCGAGGACTTTAGCTGCTAGGTCATGGCGCCTGGCCCAATATATATTTGCTTTTTGACTGAAAGGCAGATTTACAGAGAAAAAGAAAGATCTTCCATCTGCTGGTTCACTCCCCAGGTGGCCACAATGGCAGGAACTGAGCCGATCTGATGCCAGGAGTTTCTTCTGGGTCCCATGTGGGTGCAGGGTCCCAAAGCTTTGAGTCATCCTTGACTGCTCTCCCAGGCCACAAGCAGGGAGCTGGAAGGGAGGTAGAGCAGTTGGGACTAGAACTGATGTCCACATGGGATGCCAGTGCTGCAAGGCAGGGTCTGGACTTAAACCAGCACCAATATGGGAGGCTGGTGTTGCAGGCAGTGGCATTACTCACTGTGCCACAATGCTGGCACATGTATATATTTTTTTAACCATAGTTTTGTAACTTGGAGTTAATTTCTTCAGATTGGGTGATGCCTTAGTAAGTGGGAGGTGGTGTTGCTGGTTTTTTTTTTTTTTTGATTTATTTATTTAAATTTGAAAGGCTGGATCTTAGAGGAGAGACACAGAGAGAAGGAGAGGGATCTTCCATCTGCTAGTTCATTCCTCAAGTGGCTGCAATGACCAGAGCTGGACTAGTCTGAAGCTGGAAGCCCCAGGAGCTTCTTGTGAGTTTCCCACATGGTTGTGGGGACCCAAGCTCTTGGACCATCTTCTGCTGCTTTTTTCTGGGAACGTTATGAGGGAGCTAGATTGAAGTGGAACAACTGGGACTTGAACCGGTGTCCATATGAGTTACCATGGCAAATAGCGCAGCGCTTGATTTGAAAATCAGAGTTAGAGACAGAGATCTTCCGTCTATTGGTTCCTCTCAATATGATGGCTGCAGCTGCCACGGTTGGGTCAGACCAGAGCCAGGAGCCTGAAACTCCATCTGGGTGCCCCACGTGGTGACAGGGGTCCCAGCACTTACATTATCAGACAGTGCTGCTTCCCATGCTGCACATCAACAGGAGGCAGAAGTCAGAAGCTGGAGCTGGAAATTCATCTCAGATTCTCTGATATGGGATATGGATATCTTATAACAAATATCAGTACTTTTATTTATTTTCATTTTATTGGAGGGAAGGTGAGGCAGTGGAGAAAAAGAAAGACTGATCCTCCATCAACTCCTCAAACAGCCCAGGCTGGGCCAAGCCAAAGTCAGGAGCCTGAAAGTCAGTTGAGATCTCGTGTGTGACAAGGACCGAGAACTTGAGCCTTTGCCTGCTGCCTGCCTGGGTGCACGTTAGCGGAGCTGGGTTGGAAGCAGAGACGCGTGGACCTGAATCAGCCATTGTGACTGAGGATGCTGCTGTCTCAGGCAGCAGCTGCAGCCGCTCTGACGGCTCTTGCCTTAGCTGGTTATGCTAAACATTGTCCTGCGTGTGCCCTCCTCTTCCAAGTTCCTAACACTCTGAAAACAATCAGATTCTTGGCCTCGTGTGGCCTGGATCTGGTTTTTTTCAGTTTCATCTTTCACTGTGAGTAATGGGAAGGCTGTGTGTTTGTGAGGGGCGTCATCTTGAGAACATCTTGTAATGGGCCCTTGTTCAGGGTCCCTTGGAGCTCCTTTCGCGCTCGGGCTGTCTGCTGCGGATTCCTCTCCGCATTACTTAACTCCTCGGGTTCACTCAGCACGGTGTAGAGTAGCACTAGCTGGCCTTTAAATTATGTATGTATGCAGATTATGTGCACACACACACATATACACACATATTAAGATTCATTTATTTTTGAAAGTTAGAGAGGCAAAGATGAACCATCTGTTGGTTCATTTCCAAATGGCTACTGTGGCGTTTTGCTGGGCCAGGCGGTAGCCAGGATGCGGAGCTTCCTCTGGATTTCCCACATGGTGGCAAGGGCTTAACACCTGGGCCATCTTTTCCTAAGCCATTAGTAGGGAGCTTCATCAGAAGTGGAATAGCTGAACACAAATTAGTAAACACAAATTAGTGCCCATGTGGAATGCTGGTGTTGCAGGTGGCAGCTTATACTTACTGTGCCACAACACCAGCCCCTTTAATTTTGATATTTCAAAATCTTTAGGTGTTAAGTACATCCCTTGATAATTTCTTACTTTATTAATTTTTTGTTATCTTTTTTTATAATTTCTTTAACAGAGTTCTTCAGCTCTGTATTTTAAAAAATGCACGTCTATAAAACCAAATAGTTATAAAACATTAAAAAATTAGTTCATTTTACTTATTTTAAAGACAAAGAGGGAGACAGAAGTATCTTATCTTTTGGTTTATTCCCCAAATGAATGGAATAACCAGGGCTGAGCCAGGCAGAAGACAGGGCCTGAGACTCTGGTCTCCCATCTGGTGGCAGGGACCCAGTTACTGCTGCCTGCCTGGGTCTGCATTAGCAGGAAGTTGGCATGGAGAATGGAGCTAGAATTGAAACGATGTGAGCCTCCTGGCTGGCAGGGGCAAAGGCTGGCCTTAAATGACAACTGGAAGAGGCTTACACTGAGGAGTAGTAGTCCCTGTCTCACCTCCACCAGTTACTCAGCTTTGCTTTCCAGTCAGACACATCAACTCCTTAAGCTATCTCTATTAGCATTTTCCTGTATTTTTAAAATGATTATATTGCTTTTTCTCCCCCAAAGGTTGATTATGTGTTTCAAAGTCATATTATATTTATAGAGAAGGAGCGGGGGAGAGAGATAGCTGCCGTTTGCTGGCTTAGTCCTCAGACCACAACGGTCTGCATTGGGCTCGGTTGAAACCAGGAGCCAGGAACTTCATCTAGGTCTTCTGCATGGGTTGCAGGGACCTAATCACTTAGGTCACTGTTTGCTGCTTTCCCAGGTCATTAGCAGGGAGCTACATCAGTACAGTAGCCAAGACTCGAACTTGTGTCCATATAGGATGCCCGTGTCACCAGTGGTAGCTTCACCCGCTGTGCCACAATGCTGGTTCCTACTCTACATATGTCAGTTTTGGGTGGTTTATATTTCCTGTTGTCATAATAGTGGATGGTCTACCTCCTGTAGTGACTCCTTCAGCTTTTACTACATTTTACTTTGTTTATTTCCTCTTCTGGCTTTGTCTTTTATAGTGGAGGCCTTGAGTTTCTGTGTTTTCTATTCAGGTTTAAGGTGGGGTGGGGGTTGGCTGCAGTGGCCTCATAAGCTAATTCTCCACCTGTGGCACTGGCGTCCCTTATGGTGCTGGTTCATTTCCTGGCTGCTCCACTTCTGACCCCGCTTCCAGCTTGCACAGGCCCAGCTCTGGCCGTAATGGCCAAATCGGTAGTGTGCCAGCAGAGGGAAGGTCTCTCTTCTCTTTCTCTCCTTCTCTAATTGTGACTTCTAAGTAAAATAAATAAATAAATCTTTGTTTTTTTAAGGGCATATGTTTTGGCATCCTTGGTGACCATTAAGCTTTGCTATAGGCTGAAAGTTGGCATTGAGAACTCCTTACATTGTCAACATACAAGGGTGTTGGGAGTTGATTTTTCTCCAGAGAAATTTTTTTTAAATGTCTTTTTATTGGAAAGGCAGATCAGATTTACAGAGAAACATCTTCTGTCCACCATTTCACTCCCCAAATGGCTGCAGCGGCTGGGTAGAGCTGATCTGAAGCCAGGAGCCAGGAGCTTTCCCTGGGTCTCTTGTGCGGGTGCACGGTCTAGTGCTTTGAGCCATCCTCTGCTTTGTCCTGCCATAAGCAGGGAGCGGGATGGAGAGTAGAGCAGCCAGGATGTAGCCATTTAGCCATTGTGTTAGGCCTTCTCCAGAGAAATGTTGCCTGAACACTGAGAAGTTGAGAAGGTTAGTCAGACATTGTAGTGGTGTAGTAGTCAGTCTTTTGTAGCTGTAAATAGGGAGAAGTTACTGATGGAAGGTTTATTTCCCGCTTGTGGTTTCAACGGCTCAGCCTGAGCTGACGCAGCCTCACTGATATGGTGTCTGATGAGGGCACTGATGGTGGAAGGGGGCAGAAGGATCATGTGCTGGGAAGCAGAAAGCCTCCACGAATCTGTCCTGCAACCCAGCAACCCAGTTTAACCTGACCACACCGAGAGACCCTCCACCGCCACCTTCTATCCTTAATCTGTTAACCATTGACACTAATCCAGGAACCATTAAAATAAGATTTTGGGGATCAAGTCCGTACTACATGGCCTTTGGGACATACCAAAACTGATAGCCAAGTCGTAACAGTGGAATTTTGGAAGGTTGAGAAATTTGGTAAATTTGTTGTATTAAATGAAACATCTTCTTTGAAAATCTTAATAAAGTTTCATTTATTCTATAGCTGTTGATTAGGTCCAAATTAAATCTTAAAGAAGAAAGAAAAACTTTTTATTTCAGGCCTGGCATAATAACCTAGTGGCTAGAGTCCTCATTTTGTACCTGCGTCGGCATCCCATGTGGGTACTAGTTCAGGTCCAGCTGCCACACTTACTTCCCTTCCAGCTTCCCGCTTGCGGCCTGGGAAAGCAGCAGAGGATGACTCAAAGCCTTGGGACCCTGCACACGTGGGAGACCAGGGAGAGGCTCCTGGTCCCTAGTTTTGGATCAGCCCTGGCTGTTGTGGGCACTTAGGGAGTGAACCAGTGGGTGGAAGATCTTTCTCTCTGTCTCTCTTTCTGTGGATCTGACTTCTCTATAAAAAGCAATAAATTAAAAAAATTTTAATTTGAAAGAGTCCCAGAGAGGGTGAGAGATATTGACATTCTCAGAGATATTGTTCATCTGCTGGTTGACTTCTAGATGACTGCAGTGACCAGCTGATGGCCCAGGCCATGGTCAGGAGCCACGGGCCGTGTGGTCTCACACGTGAATGCAGGGGTCCAAAAACCTAGGCCATCTACTGCTGTTTCTCCCAGGCCCTTGAGAAAGGGACATGGATCAGAAGAACAGCTGGGATGCAAACTGGTGCCCCTGTGGGATGCAGGCTGCATGGTAGGCAGTGGCTTTTATCTGTTGTACTATAGCACTGGTCCCCAGATAAAGAAAAGGAAAAAAAGTCATGCTTGTGTCCTTGTGTCCTTTCACAAGCTTATTTTTCCACGGATTCCAGTACTGAATTTGGAAAGATACTTTAACCTTTCTCACTTTTCTCCTTTTTTTGTTCATTTTAAGTATGTAGTATTTTTAATGTTTGAATATGCAAATCACAATTCTGTGCTGGAGTCAGCCTATTCTTGGGAAGTACCTTTAGCCTCCTTTTGTTGAAATAGTGGCAAAGGGCGACTGTGAATGCGGTAATGGCATGAAAAGGTTCTGTCAATATTAACCATGGGCATGGTATGTATTTGAGAGTAGTACTCTGGATTAAATAGCGTGATAAATGATCCAAGAACCCTAACACTAGTATTGTGATTTTTTCTTTTATTATTTTTATTTTATTTTGTTATTTTTTTGTTTATTGTGATTTTGATGTGATATCCTTTTAAACGCTGTCCATTTGGGTTCTGCTGGGTTAGTCTAGTGCCTGTTTGAATCATAAAACACTCATGTGTTGCCCAGCGTGATGGCTCAGTGGCTAAATCTTCATCTTGCAAGTGCCAGGATCCCATATGGGTGCCAGCTCATGTCCCAGCTGCTGCACTTCCCATCCAGCTCCCTGCTTGGGGCCTGGGAAAGCCGTCGAGGATGGCCCACAGCCCTGGGACGCTGTACCCAACCATTGTGGCCACTTGGGGAGTGAACTAATGGATGGAAGATATTTGTCTTTCTTCTCTCTCTAAATCTGATCTGCTTTGCCAAAAACAAACAACACACACTTATTTGAAGGCTATACCTTATTTTGTCCCCAGTCATGGAAAATGCCATTATCTTAACAGTTATATGTCTCACGCAGCTTTAGAAAAATATGGCTGGGGGGCACTGTGGCGTAGTGGGTGAAGCCACTGCCTGAGGCACTGGCATCCCACATTGGTACCATTGAGTCCTGCTGCTCTGCTTTCAGTCTAGTTTCCTGCCAAGGTGAGTAAAAGATGGCCAAGGTGATTGGGTCCCTGCCCCTCTGCCTCCCAGTGGAAGACCCAGAAGTTGTTCCTGACTTCAGACTGGCCCAGCTTCAGCTGATGTGGCCATCTGGGGAGTGAACCAGGGGATGGAAGACCTCTCTGTTTTTGTAAATTCCTGCTGCATGCAAAGTTGGACTGCTGGGATTAGAACTGGCACCCCTGAGTGATCCTGGCACATGCAAGGTGAGGACTTTAGCTGTTAGGCTACCGCACTGGACCTGCTTTCGTAAATTCTTTCAAGTAAATAAATGAGCCTTTCCAGGAAAAAAAAATATACTGTAAAATGTTTCTGTAAAAATGGAATTAAAAGATTGTTATTTGAAATCCAGGCAGTTTTGTTCTTTTTTAAATCTTCATATTTTGAGGTCTTAAAAAAAGATTTGTAGAATTTTTTGTAATGAGAAAACTGCATGGATTTCCAAATTTATTTGCCACAAAATAAACTTACGCTAGTTCCAGCATGTCTGCACCACATCTGGTTAAAGGCATTATGAAGCATAAGACATCAGTTTGAAAAGAGCCCCTGTCAGAGCAACATGGATTCTACCAGCACTGATGCAAGAATAAGCAGCAGTTTTATAATGGACCTTGTGGGAATAAAGCCACAGATAGTCTACAAAAAAGAAATTATGGGGACATTCCTGTCATCAAAACAAATGTGATTTTGGAAGTTTTAGTGGGAAATATTAGTCATCTCACTTATGGTCCTGCACTGACTATTGCATATGCTTCCAAAAGATCGTTAAAGGCCACTCAGTTTTCTTCAGATTGTAATGTAACAAACACTGGCATGGACTAAACTGCTTACATTATATGTTGAATTTGATGGAGCTTACATTGAGAAATAGTTTATACATTTTTACCTTTTAATTCTAATATTCCTATAAACTCTTTGAGGTCATTTTAGATTTATTTTTTCCACTCAATGTTGTTTATTTTTTAAAGGATATGCTTTATTTGAAAGACTGACAATCAGAGGAGACAGAGAATGCGAGATCTTACATCTGCTGGTTCACTCCCCAAATGGCCCCAATGGCTGGAGCTAGGTCGATTCGGAGCCAGGAGCTAGGAGTTTTCTCTGGGTCTCACACATGGTGCAGGGACCCAAGTACTTGAGTCATCCTCTGTTGCTTTCCCAGAGCATAAGCAGGGAGCTGGATGGGAAGTGGAGCAGCAGGGACATGAACATTGCCCATGGGGGATGCTGGCACCACAGGTGGAAGCTTAGCATACTTTGCCATGGTGCTAGCCCCTACAGTAAGTGATTCTAAGCGTCACTTCAGAATTGTCATACTGTATTGTTCCCTTACCTGCTAGCCCATCTTGGGTATTTAGGTTGCTTCTGACATTTCGTACAAATGATGATGAAATTAATATTAGTTGACATCTTAATATTTTTATCATTAAAAGTAGATAAAATATGAACATTTTTCAAGCTTTACATATGCTAGATTTCTCTAGAATAGCTTCCACTAGCAGGATGTGTCAAGAGTTCAGTACTTGGGGCCCAGCGATGTGGCCTAGCAGCTAAAGTCCTTGCCTTGAATGTGCCGGGATCCCATATGGGCGCCGGTTCTAGTCCCGGTAGCTCCACTTCCCATCCAGCTCCCTGCTTGTGGCCTGGGAAAGCAGTCGAGGACAGTCCAAAGCCTTGGGACCCTGCACCCACGTGGGAGACCTGGAAGAAGCTCCTGGCTTTGGATCGGCATAGCATCGGCCGTTGCGCTCACTTGGGGAGTGAATCATTGGACGGAAGATCTGTCTCTCCTCCTCTCTATATATCTGACTTTCCAATAAAAATAAATAAATCTTTAAAAAAAAAAAAGACTTCAGTACTTGTTTTGAAAATCGCTAACAGTCTTACTGTTTGTAACGTGATTTTTTAGAAGTGCATGCCCATATCCCACCAGGCCTTTAGGAGACTTAAGAGCAAGCCTGTGGATTGTTGTGACTTCTTGCTTGGGGCAGGTCACAGGAGAGCTGACGTTGCTGTTTCCTGTTGATGTTCTTGAGCCCTGTTGGGGCCCATCTCCGAAGAGAATGTCTGGGTCTGCTCAGTGGGGCAAGACTGATACGACTAATTTCTTAGGCCCGATCCCGACTCTGTAACTCTGTGACTGGGGTGCTTGTGTAAGGTGATTAAATGGAAATAGTTTTTGTTGTTGTTTTAAGTAACATTATTTTAAAGTCACAGTTAGAGATGTTCCATCCACATTTTTACTCCCCAGATGGCCACAGCTGCTAAGACTAGACAAGGCCAGAGCTAGTTTCCTGGCTCTCCCGGTGGGTGCAGGGGCCTAAGCACTCGGGCTGTCTTCTGTTGCTTTCCCAGGCCATTAGCAGAGAGCTGGGTTGATGCAGAACAGCCAGAACATGAACTGGTTCCCAGAATGAGTGCTTCAAGGCCTGTATTCCTGCCTTTCCTCAGCTGGCTGCTTTGAGAACATCTGGTTATAGCTAGATCATTTTTGGAATTTTTAGTACAGAGAGCTCCCTACTGCATAACCTCCTTCCATCTCACTTGTTATAAAAAAAGAAATAAAACTCCAAATAAAACTTCTGGGCTGTGGGCCAAGCTGTAGAACTGCCTGACCTTATTCCCATGGTAGATGGGCTTTTGGCCTGGGAGAGCTGCCTCTGTGGCTCAGGCCTGGTTATTGATTCTCAGAAATGTTTGGGAGTAGTTAGTCCCAAGAACTTGTATATTCATCAGATCAGGGTGAGGCCCAGGGGCTGAAAGGCTACCTGGCCCATGTAGTATACTTTGACAGGGCCCTTGAGTCTCCATTGTAGTCCTTGGGACTCAGCTTGGTGTTGCTAGTCTTACCTCAGTTTTGTGAGTACGTGGGGTGGTGCACAGGGGAGCTTCCTCAGAACGCTGGCATCCTAGTGAATTGGCCACACGTGGGAGCAGCACTGGCTGCCTCTACCCAGCCCAGAGACAAGGAAGGAGTTAGATAGAAACAGATCAGCTCCAATGGGAGTGTTGCAAGTGAACAAGCCCTTCAGGACAGTGGCTTAGGGGACATATAATGGAGCCTGAGGAGAAACCATTGTGTCTTGTCAGTAGACAGTCTCAGAATCTTCTCCAGCTCAAGCCCAGGGCATTTGGACCTGGATGGCTGTTGTGTCTTCTCATTCTGCAAGGCAAGATGTAAACCAAGTGGGACCTGCAGGTGCCTCCAGTGTTTGTGTCCCTTGGCGGGTACTTCCTGCCCCTCTTCGGATCTAGCCAGCAGACTGCTTGACTGGGGGGGGTTTGACTTGTGTTAGGAATGGCCAGCCTCATGACCACCACAGTGCCAAGTCTTTTTTCCTCATGCCTTCATCTCTGATTTCTCCAACTCCAGGTCGCCCCTCCTAATTTCTCAATGTCACAAGTGCCCAGCTGCCCCCAGGCCTACTCTGAGCTGCAGACATTGTCCCCCAGTGAGCGGCAATGTGTGGAGACAGTGGTCAACATGGGTTATTCCTACGAGTGTGTCCTGAGAGCTATGAAGAAGAAAGGAGAGAATATTGAGCAGGTGAGTGGCTGGCCAGTGAAAGGGGTGCTAGGCCAGGGGTGACTGGGGCCTCAGCTGGAAAGCCCTTGGACTCCTCACCCTAACCTCCTCTTGTGTGACTCTGCTGGGACTGATGGGGCTGTGTTAGGGAAACAAGCACTCTGCCCAGCAGGCTTCTCTGGAGCTCAGGTTTAGGGAGAGCCTGGGGTGCCTGGAAACTCAGTTACCCAGTTCTCCCCCTCTGTCCCCAATAGTGAGACTGTCCATGCTCGCTAAAATTGTCAGGTCTAGGGCAAGCCTTTTGAGGCCATTCTTCCTGGGCTGCCCTCTCGTTGCCCCATTTTTGCATGTAACACAAATATTGGCAAACAGGATATTATTTAACTCTTGAGAAGCCTGACACCTCTGTGAGAATGGAAGTGTTTGTTGGAAAACGCACCATTTGTCCAGTCATTTCACCAGGTGGCCAGGAAAATAACACCTCTGTGTGGGCAGCACAGGAATTGCCCAGCTATTAATTGATTAGAGGCCGCCAGTGTGCCTTTTGTAGGTTCGCCCAGGTGGGCATCCAACAGAAACCCTACCCAGCTGAGTGACACAGTGATAGGGAGGTGCTGTGCAAGTGACATCCTAAGAAATGTGAATCAGCTGTGACTACACGCCTTTGAACAGTGGCTGCTTGTATTTGAAAGAGTGAAGATGCTTCTCCATTCAACAAATAATAACAGCAGATCCAGTTCAGGACACAAAGTCAGGTCCCTTCCAGAACCTGGTAGCATGGGTCAAGTGGGGAGCAGACTTTAGTTTGTGTAAGACTTGGAAAGCAGCAGCAGTGGATGTTGAAACTTCTTTGTTTTCCTAGATTCTCGACTATCTCTTTGCACATGGACAACTTTGTGAGAAGGGCTTCGACCCTCTGTTGGTGGAAGAGGCTTTGGAAATGCACCAGTGTTCAGAAGAAAAGGTGAGAACCCTAAGGCTAAGGAACTGCCAAGTCTCCCAGCCTTATCTTGAATCCCACTGAGGGAAAGGGGAAAATTGACCCTGGGCTAAAAGTTTAGCCAAACTTTTGGATGACTGGGAAGCTTGCTGGTCTCATTGTTGTCCCAGGGAACAGCTGTTTGGGAGCCTGCATGGTGGGCATGGGTGGAGGGACCCAGAGCTCAGCAGGTGAGCAGACAGGCTGAGGTGTCAAACTTGTGACTGCCGCTCCCAAAGGGACCTCATGGAGACAGGTGGCTCTGGCTAGAGGACGTGGGATCCCTTTGCAGAGAGAAATGCCTGTTTGCTCTGCTCTGTTGGACGGCTGGACCTTTTTCTTTAATCTCTCTTCTCATCTCCCTTAGATGATGGAGTTTCTTCAGTTAATGAGCAAATTTAAGGAAATGGGCTTTGAACTGAAGGACATTAAGGAAGCGTTGGTATTACACAACAATGACCAGGACAATGCTTTGGAAGACCTCATGGCCCGGGCAGGAGCCAGCTGAGACTTGGCCCTGCCACGGAACCAGCACCCCCAGGAAACCCTGCAGAGCCCACCTGTGGGAAGGCGAAGGGGCACAAACTGCTGAATTTTCCTTTGGGCTTAGCGCGTCAGGTGTGGAGACTGTGCTTGACAGTGTCCGAGTAGGGCCTGAGCTGGAGAGAAAGGGCAGGAATGGGTGTGTGAGCGCTCCTAGAACTGGCCTGGCTCCTTCTATCTTACATGTATTTATATTTTGAGAAGTGTCCTTCCCCCCTTGGCCCTCCAGAAAGTCTACCTTTGTCTTTTCTGGGGTTTTCTGTGGTTAGCCCTGGCCTGGCTGCCAAGAGGCGTCCAGGAGAAGGGGTGAGAGGGCCAAACTCAGTGCTGCTCTGGGATTAGATCTGCCCTGTCCCCACAGTGGTGGACTGAACTCTAATCCGTGTTGAGTGCAAGTGAAATGTTCCTCTGGAGTTTCCTTTCCCCCTCACCGAGGTCTCTTAGTGTTACACTGGTTCTGCGATGTCTGAGGTGTGAAGGATGCGCTTTTCTCCAGGGGCCCCGAGTTGAAAGCATCCCCAGCCGGCAGTTGCTGGATGGGTACCATGCTGGTGTGGTTGGGCCAGTCTCTGCTGCCCAAGGCTGTAGAGCCCCCATTGTGGGAAGCAGCCATCAGTTTGATCCTTGGCCCCTTTCCTGCACATTCGGTGGGTGGGACAGCAGGCCATGGTGGGATTGCCCAATACTAACTGCACTTCCGTTCTCCCTGGACAGCATCTCCCTGCGGCCCACTGCTTTAGAATGACACAATTAGTAACACCTAGTCATAAAAATCAGTCTCTTTGGTTTGTTTTGTATTATGTTGAACATCATTAAAAACCTAAATACAAAGAATATACAGTCTTGAATCTAAAATAATTTGCTAACTATTTTGATTCTTCAGAAGAGTACTACTAATAAAAATCTAAAAGGTTTATCTTGCTGTGCTGATCTCCTTATTGCCGGGGGCTGTTTCACTGAGGGTGAGTGGGTGGTGCAGGGACTGCGGGCTGAGATTTGCTGGAGCGGGGCTGTCACCTCAGTCCTTTCTCCCCACTGCAGGCCTGCAGCCCTGGTTTGTGGTTTGCCAAGGAGGCCCAGATAAGCGTCTGTTTAGGTCTGACCTAACTCAGTCTGGGCAAGAGACAGGATTTCCTGTAAGACTGACTGGAAGTGGGATGGACTGGACCTTCAGAGGAATCACCCAAGAAATGAGGAAGAGGTCCCTGTGAACTCTGTGTCCCAGGTGTGCTGGACTTCAACATCTGTCAAACCTAGATGCATCCCTACAGTTTTTTGTTCTTATACTCCTGACTGGGCGTGGATCTCCTTGAAGAGGCTGTAGACTTAGGGCTGAGAGGCACCAACTGGAGGCAGGATGCCCTCTGGTGGTCAAAGGGTGGATCAGGCCTGATTGCTGCAGGCTGGAGAAAGCCACTCTGCCTTTTAAAACCTTAAAAAAGTTATTGTTTACCTGAAGGAAATGAGAGGTCACATGGTAATGGGCATCAGGGTCCAGGCTGTACAAATACTAGTTTGTCCCTCTGCAGCCTGGGAAACTGATGGGCACCTGGAGGCCTCTCCTCGTCTTGAGCTTCTTCCTGCTGAAAAAATGTACAAGTAGAACCCAGAGCTGGGAGGAAGTTGAGTCGGAAGCCTCAGACTGTTGACAGGAGTACAGAATACAGGCCTGTGAGAGGCAGGTGGCTGGGGTGCCCCGGGGAGGAGACTTGGGGCCCTCCAGCTCTTCAGGTGCTCCATGGAGACTGTGGAATCGGCAAAGTGAGGGTATTACATAGCTTGTCACCCCTGCAAAAGCCAGCAATGGGAAAAGAATGCAGTGTCATAAGCACCCTCTTGTGTCTCAAAGCTAGACTGCAGGAAGGGACCTGTAAAGCAAAAAACCTGTCACATCTGCTACTGAAGACACAACAAAGTTTATTTTGAATTTGAAAAATCTCACTAGCAATGCCGTTTTAGCCTGCAGCCATTGTTTTAGTCTTCAAAGACAGGTGCAGAATGGAGCTGATAAAGCTCCTGGGTCAGTGTGCTGCCCTTCCCGGGACTGTGACCTCCAAGTATGTTCCTCCAAAGGGTCAGTAGAGCAATGCTCTTCTAGCTCTGACAGGAAGAACCAAGTCTTCCATCTGGTTTTTCCTCTCACTCCTGTACCTGGAACTGGGGAAGGATGGCAGTCTGGCCCTGACAGGAGTGGGGGCGGGGTCCATTCGAGGCCAGTGTATTCAGATGAGGTTAGCACAGACAGCGGATGCTGCTATGTGCAGGGTGGGCCTGACACAGGCCGCCTCCAGCCACTAAGAGTCCAGTACAGTGACCTGCACTGCCCCTGCGGGCCACCAGAACCTTGCTTTAAGACGCCACTGTCCTCTCTGGTGCTGCAGCTGGCCTGTGGCAGGCAAGGTACAGCTGCAGCTGGCTCCTCAGACTCTGGATGCACTTGGACTTCAGGGCCATGATTTCATCCAACCGGGTCACAAAATCTTCAAAATCCTGAGAAAGGAAACAGGACAAATTTTTTTGCTCTTTTTGGCCCTCTGCCAGATCTCTCTTTGCTTCCCTCAAGGTTTCAGAACCTATGCTCCTTGCCCCCCTACTCCTCCCCTGAAAAACTATGTGGCAACAGTGCAGGATGGGCCCACTTCTGGTCTGAGACAGAGAGCATTGCCTCTAGTCCACATGTGGTCACTGTTAAGAGTTACGTGCAGGGGCCCCAACAAACCACTAGGAAGGCAGAGTCGTTGAGGATATAGGTTGAAACCATTCTAGCTTGGGAGTGGGGAGCGCAGTAGCATGTTCCGGCAGTACCTGTCCCGTCGGAGTGGCAAGAGAAGCACAAAGCCCCAACAGTGCTGTGTATGACGGTGACCCTTACATACACATGACCATGGTAAACAAGGATGACCATCCAAATGAGTTACAAATCGATTCTTAACAGATCAAGTGTCCGGCCAAGGCCACTTACATTAGTTGCTAGCTGGCTCATCAGGGTCTCCTCCTTGAGTCCCAGCTCGGCCATTTCATCCAGCTGTTCCTGGTGTGCCTGAATGACCACCTGCCTGGGAACACCAGAGGGGGACACCATCTTGCTCTGGGCCTCCCATCCTCTTCTGGACAGCTGTCCAGCCATGAGGGGGGTCAAGGATTTGAGCAAACCCAGCTTATCACTTTACTTCCTTACTCATTTACTCTTCTCAGGACTAGTCAAGGGATCAAGGAGTACCAAGCAAGATAAGGAGAAGCAAACCCAGTGCTATGGCTCAATGCTAAATCCTACCCATCTGGTAGCTGGTTCCCATCCTGGCTGCTTTACTTCCCATTCAGCTCCCTGTGTGGACTGAGACAGTAGTAGAGGATGGTTGGGACCCTGTACCACGTGGGAGACCCGGAAGAAGTTCCTGGCTCCTGGCTTTGGATCAGCTCAGCTCTAGCTATTATGGCCACTTGGGGAGCGAACCAGTGGATGGAAGATCCTTCTCTTATCTCTTTCTCTGTAAATCTGACCTGCCTTTCTAATTAAAGAGAGAGAGAAACGCCAGAGGCTCCTCAGTTGTCCCCAGCCCGAGGGATGGGGCTGGGTGCTGCTTCTCCAGAGGTGCTATTCACGCCTCATGGCTGCGCTGAGAAAGGCTTTCATGGCTGTACTCAGCGCTGCTGGCATGTGTGGCACCAGCTGGGGGCCTGTTGCCTAGTCTGCTAACATTTCTACTTCCTGTGGGGGATACAGGGACAAATTTGGACTAACAATGGAAGGAGCTGCCTTTTTCCAGACTCTAAGTATGAACAGAAACTATGGGGCAGCAAGGCTCCACTTTGGTGGCCTTCAGCACTGATCTGGGGTAGGGGGAGAGTGCCAGCAGGGCTCCAGTTTTGGGGAGAGAGTCCAGCTTACTGTGCTTGCTCCACAGTGGACTGGTGGAGTGTCCCTGCCGTCACGGGAGAGCAGCTGGTGACCAGGGGAGAGTCAGGCGTCAGGAAGTGCCTCGAGATGGGCCTCCGCTTGAGCCACATGATGTCCTTGTCGCAGCCAGGCTCGTTGATGGAGTCTGCAGACGGAACCCGCTCCTGCCAGCCAAGCCCAGCAGGTGGCTTTCTCTCCTGGGCCCAGTACTGCTCAGCTGCTTCATTTCTTCCTTTCTGTGCAGGTTCAGAACAGGGCACCCCAATATGTAAGGTAGAAAAGGGCTTTCCCAGGAGATGCCAGGAGGCATCCAACTCTCTCTCAGCATCTGCATCATAGCACTCACTACCTGTGTGGTCCCGGGGGGAGAAGCATGCGGTCTCTCTGCTCTGGCTGGCCACTCCCAGGCTGCCCTCTGTGATGGGCAGCCTGTCAGGTGGGTGCTGACGAATGGGTGATGGGGATAGAGCTGGCAGACTGCCACTGGGCTTGTCATCAGGAGGAGACGAGGACAGCCACAGGCGGGCGGTTGCTGAAGACACGGGCAGGGCTGCCTCCTGTTCACCAGATGACGCTGTGCAGCCCACAGCTGGTACCCCTGTGTTCTCGACCCCACCCCGGGCCAGCTGCTCCAAGGGAAAGGTGGTCTTGTCTTCTGGGGTCTCCAGGAGGGACACGGTGAGTGGAGCCATTAGGCCAGAAGCGTATTCAGAGCCCGTCTCTGACTGCCCTCCAGAACACTCCTGGAAAGGGCTGCTGCTTCTCACGGTCCGATCTAGGCGAGCTGGGTAGTCACTGCCAGCACTTGGAGGGGAAGTGACTGAGGCTCTTTGGTCTGGGGATACAGAAAAAGCAAAAGCATCTTCCCCAGGGGGTGGTGAGCTGTCCACTGCCTGCCCAGCAATTCCGCACCTGAATGCATCCTGTCTGCAAGCGAAGGGTGGACTTCCTCTATTTTGTCTGACCACAAAATCGGCCTGGGAGCAGGAGGTTCTCTCAGCCAGGCTGTCCTCTGCAGAAGGCCCCGAGCAGGAGGAGTGCTCTCTGCTCCAGTCCGCGGACACCTTCCCTGGGCTGGGGCTGAGTGCTGCTCCTCTGTGGCTTTGGGATCCTCTCGAGCACACCCAGCTTCCAGCCTTCTCCTCAGCATCTGGCTTGGGGCCAAAAAGGAGTCCTTGCTGTCTCTCAGTCACGAGTTCCTCCGGCCCCGGGCTCCGACTCTGATGGAGGAAGAACGAGCCCTCACTGCTCTCCGCAGCGTGCTCCTGCTTTGTGCTCCTCTGGCTGGACACATGGGAGAAAGAATCTTCACTGAAGTCGCTGTCATCCGGCTCCTCTGCCTGGGCTCCCTCTGAGCTCTCGGAGTGACACTGCAGCGGAAGCGGGCCCTCCTTAGGGAGCTGATTCCCTGGGGGCCTGTACTGGCACAGAAACCTTTCCAGTGGCTGATAATTGAGCTTCTGCTGGAGGAGAGGTGGCTGCTGGAACTGCTGGTGATAAAAGCGCAAATGTTCCTCTCTTTCCTTCTGGTGTGGGGGAATGTTTGTCCAGGCTCCGGAAGCAGGCCAGGCTGGCACAGCCTCCTGGCTGCACTGACTGTCCTCTGCTAAGTGGTAGGTGCTTCCAAAGCAGAGCTCGACTCGGGACATAAGCTGCTTCTGCACTGGCTGCACGGTCTGCACCTTCTTGCACTTGGTGGGCAGCTTTACCTGTGCGAGGCCTTCTGGGCAAAGCGTCCTGCCTTCCCACGCCAGGCTAGTTTTGTTGCCCATTTGACTTCTCTCAGAGTACAGTGGTACAGACTCTTCCTCCCTCTTCTTAGCCAGATGTCCAAGCCGAGAGGCTCCTTTCATAGGGCCAGTCTGTATGCCCCACTCCTGGGGAGGACTTCCTCTGGAGCCACCTCTTTTACCAGGAACTTTTGGCCCAGAAGCCAAGGGGATGTTGGGTGGGTGGCTGGCTAGAGGGTGGACCTTCCCTCTTGTGGAGCCAGGGGCCACCGGGAGTGACTGCAGAAGGCCCAGCTTGACTTTTTTTGGAGAACATTTGTCCCCTGGCAGGGCTGCAGGGGGGCTCTGAATTCTTTTTGGAGAGGAGTTTCCTGGTGAATGATTTCGACTGGGGGTTGCAGCGTAGCACTTAATGCCTTTCTTTAGTTCTTTGACACTGCAAATAAACCATTTCATGATAAATGTGTATTACAAGCACAGGCAGATTTTTTTTTTTTTTTTAATGCGGGGGAGAGAGTAAGAGAAAAGGTATATTCTACTTCAGCATGAGATATGTGCTTGGCTCCTGAGTTAAACAGGGTCAGGGCAGTGTTCCAACACAGCTAATAAAGCCACCACTTACAGAGATAGCATCTTAAAATGGAGTGCTGGCACACATCCCAGTGACTCTGCTTCTGATCCAGCTCCCTGCAAATACACCTGAGAAAGCAAATGACAGTCCAAAGATTTGGCCCCTTTTCACCTACACAGGAGACCTGAATGGAGGTCCAGGTCCCTGACTTCAGCATGGCACAGCTCCGCTTGGGAAGTACAGCCATTTGGGGAGTGACCCACGTGATGGAAGATCTGTGGGCGTGTGTGTGTGTGTGTGTGTCTCCCTCTTTGTCATTCTACCTTTAAATAAGTAATTCTTAAAAACCAGGGAGTGGCGTGATAGTGTAGTGGTTTAAAGTCCTCACCTTGAACACGCCGGGATCCCATATGGGCGCCGGTTCTAATCCTGGCAACTCTACTTCCCATCCAGCTCCCTGCTTGTGGCCTGGGAAGGCAGTCGAGGACAGGCCAAAGCTTTGGGACCCTGTACCCGCATGGGAAACCTGCAGTAAAGTTCCTGGTTCCTGGCTTTGGATCGGCACAGCACCGGCTATTGTGGTCACTTGGGGAGTGAATTATTGGATGGAAGATCTTCCTCTCTGTCTCTTCTCCTCTCTGTATATCTGACTTTGTAATAAAAATAAAATAAATCTTTAAAAAATGAGATTTACTTATGGGGTCAGTGCTGTGGCACACCATCTGTGGTGCCAACATCCTATATGGGCACCAGTTTGGGTTCTGGCCACACCCCTTCCAATTCTGTTGCCTGCTGGTATGCTTGGAAAGGATGACCTGGGGATTGGGCCCCTGCCACCCACATGAGAGACTCAGACGAAGTTCTAGGCTCCTGGAGTCATCATGGCCCCGTCCTGGCCACTGTGGCCATTTGGAAAGTAAGCCAGCTGATGGAAAATCCATGTCTTCTTTCATTTCTCTCTTCCTTTCTTTTTCTCTCCCAGACTCCTGTAACTGATAAAATTTTTTAAAGAATTTACTTGAAATTCAATTTACTTGTTTGAAACAGGTTAGAACAGGAAGGAGGAGCAGACCTATCTTCCACCAGCTGGTTATGCCCCAAATGGCCACAATTGCTGGGCCTGATCCAGGCTGAAGCCAGGAGCCTGGAACTCCATCTGGATATCTCACATGGGTAGCAAGGGCCCAAGCGCTTGTGCCATCTTCCACTGCTTTCCTAGCACATCTGCATGAGATTGGAACCGGAGCAGCCAGGACTTATATGGGATGCTGATGTTGCAAGCAGCATCTTCATCTTGCTGTACCGCATCTCTGACCTTGAAGTCCCTTCATATTCATGCAGGGCCCAGACTGCTTCCTGCAGATGGACCAACTCAGGAATTCATGTTCAACAGTGAGAACCTTCTTTTTCTACAAACCAAAACCTCTTTCAGTCATTTTTGGAAAAATGAGCTCTTCCAATCTGCTCGATCCTTCAGGAAGCAAAATCTCCAGAAATAATAAGCTGGCTTGTGCAAGTTCTGTTAAGGGAAGAATGATTTGTCTGTACACAAGGTTTTGCAGCACCACTGATATTTTGCACTGAACAGTGTTTGCTGTCCGGGCTGCCCTGGGTACAGCAGGGTGGTTAGCAGCGACCTTGGCCACCACCCACCAGATGCCAGCAGCACTTCCCTTCCATCTCTACCAAGAACCATTTCTTACCCACCCTGCTGTACAAAACACATGGAACCATAGTGTGAGAAAGCAGACGATGGCGGACACCTGAGTCAACCCAGAAAAACCCTGACCAGTGAGTCAGATGTGGCAGCTCTGTCATCAATTCCTGACGAGTCTGTGGAAGTCTCTCACCCCTTCTCTAACACTTCAGTTTCCACTAGCCACCGAGAAGCCACTGATGGCGTCAGTCTGAATAGGCATACCTGCTCCAAGGACAGGGTTACAGAGCTCAGGGCCAGAACCTTATGCATGTGTGAGATACATGCACACACAAACACACACACCCAAAGCCTATGGCACGGGAGCCGACTTACCGGTCGGCGTAACGCAAGGTGTTCAGGGTGTGTTCAGTGGCTACATGGCTTGGTGAAATGTTGGCGATCATGCAGGTTTTGGCATTACCAATGAAAGAGTCCTTCAGTACCTGTATGACACAGAAGGCAGGGCACAAAGTCAACAACAGACGGTGCCTGCTGCTCAGGAGCAGAACCCCTGGGCTGCATTTCCCCTGTCCACAGGAGGCCATTCACAAGCGGAAACATCAAGGATCAACCAGCACTCAACTCACCCTTTACCAAAGAATTACAAAAACAGCATTTTAAAAAGCTAGCATTTTTTGCCAGTAGGATTAAAAAAAGACTGATGATCCTGTATACTGTGAGGGCCCAGAGAAATACATGGCTGTGAACCATGGCCCATGTACTGGGAAAAGCTTACTGGAATAAGTGATATGTATTCAAATATAAAAAATATACACATTATTGATTTGGCAATTACACTACTAGGACTTTATCCTAAGCAGATAATTGCTTTAAAAAAAGGCATACACAGGATATTCATTACAAAATTATATATAATTTAGGAGTCCATACACATATAACAGACAACTATAAAACAATTAAAACTTCTCCCAAAATAGGAGGAAAAAAAGAAAATTTGGAAACAATGGTCTTACGAACTTTCCCCTAAACCTCGGTCCTTCCCACCCTAATCAGCTATGTAAACATCATCAAAACTAAAACAAACAAAAAAATTTAAAACTGATTGTGTTTATAAGAATATGTAAAGAAATCTGAAACTTAAAGCTTTGACAGCACAGTGTGTTAAGCCACTGCCTGCAGTGCTGGCATGACAACTCCTGAGTCAGGATAGAATTCTAACCATTCCACTTCTGATCCAGTTTCCTGAGAAAGCACCTGGGAAGGAAGATGGCCCGAGTGCCTGGGCCCCTGTCACCCATGCGGGAGACCTGGGTAGAGTTCCAGGCCCTTGGTCTTGGCCAGGCCTAGCCCTCAACACTGTGAGCTGGGCCCAGAGTCAGTGGATGGAATATATATCTCTCCATCTCTTCCTCTTTCTGTAACTTTGTCTTTCAAATGAATAAATCCTAAAAAGAAATATTTGAGTGAAAAAGACATATGACTCCACAATCCTGTGGCTACAGGGCAGAGATATCTAACGGATGCTCACTGCAGTGTGGCAGCAGCTATTACTGGGTGGCAGGAAGGATTTTAAGGTACCTTTGTCTTTGTATATACTGTTGGAATTATTTTTAAATTAGATAGAAGTACATTTTCTAGAGATGAGAAACCTATTTTAAAAATCATAGAGCAAGGGTAGCAAAGTAGGCTAATCCTCCATCTGAGGCTCTAGCATCCCATCTGAGTGCCAGTTCACATCCCGGATGCTCCGCTTCTGATGCAGCTCCCTGCTTATGGCTTGGGAAAGCAGTGGAGGATGACCTACATCTTGGGTCTCTACGCCCATCGTAGGAGACTCAAAAGAAGCTCCTGACTCCTGGCTCAAAATTAACACAGCTCTGGCTGTTGTGGTCATTTGAGGGGTGAACCAGTGGATATAAATTGTTTCTTTGTAAAATCTATCTTTTAAATAAAAATAAATAAACAAACAAAAATAGAGTCAAGGCAGGCTTGGGACTAGCCATGTAAGTTCTGAAATCATGTTGAAAAAGACAAAACCTAATGTAGCTGAGTTAGTTTTGTTTTAAAGTTCTATTTTATTAAAAGGCAGAATTAGCAAGAGACAAACACAGAGGGGGCAGATTTGTTGATTCACTCTCCAAAGGTTGAAGCCAGGAACCTGGAACTCTATCTGGGTCTCCCACAGGGCTGGAAGGGACCTTAGCAGGAAGCTGGATCAGAAGTGGAGAGGCAGGACTCAAACTAGTGCTTAGTGAGGATGCCGGCGTTGTAAGCAGCAGCTTAGTTCACTGTGCCACATTGCTATTCTAGGTCCTAGGAGGCCACCAGTCAGGCGACACAGAGTCGAATGCCTCCCACAGGCCAGGCTGCCTTCTCTCTGCAGCACAGGAAGATCTTCCACATGCCCCGTCCCGTGCACCACACAGAGTGCTGAGAGGAGCCCTGGGCTCCCGTAACCATCCTCGCAGTGGGGTGAGCCTAGACCCACGGCTCACTGGGCCACTCTCCTGCAGCCATCACAGTTGCTGCTTTAGTGTAAATGGATGCTGTGATGATAAACAGGCACATTTTCATGATGAAAACAAAACAAAACAAAAAGTAATTACCTGTAGTTCAAGAATAGTCATAATGTGCATAATTTTGGTGTAGTTTCTCTTATTGCATCTTTTTCAGATTATAAAAAAGCTAGTTTTATAGTCCTAATTTTATAACATGAAAAGTTAGTTCCACTTTTACCCTCTCTGCTACTCTACTGGATATATCTGATGCTAACCATTTCTTCTTCATCTTTTTGAAACTATCGTTTAGGGCAGCTACATATACAATCAAGCAAATGCTTTAAAATTATGTAGGTAATCACATTGGGACACTGTTCCGCGGCTTGTTGTTTATAACATAATAGAGCTTGGTTTTCTTTCAGCACATGGAGAAAACCTAACTCATTCTTTTGAACTGCAGCCAATTGTACTGAAACACAGCCAAGAAAGCACCCATTACAATCATACCCCCTCCTCAGAGACCCTACCACGTCAGCAACAGCACTGCTGCCATTCCAGTGGGGCCCCAGCTACCAGGTACAGCGGACAGCTCTACCGGAGCAAGTCCCTCATAGAAGCCCTCGCAGACTAATAGCTCCTGGTTCCTCCCCTTCTCTTGTCTAGCATCTTGCCTTGTTGGTGATGAATACTGTCTGAATGAAGCGTTTCTTGGAGTGGAAAATGGAACAAATAAATGAATCCACCAGAATAAGCTTAAGGCTCACATTTAGCTTACCTGAGTTAACTTGCTCTGCCTGAAGGGAGTATGGGTATGTTCCTGATCCAGGGCGCGGATACATTCCTTCAGCTGCAATAAGCAAATCAAATATGACATGCACAGAGACTAGGAGATCAGGTGCTCCATCCACAGCAAGCTATTTTTTCTTAAGCAAGGGAGGGTGGTGGCAAGAATTTGGTGCGGCATTTAGGATGTTTTTTGGGACATTCACGTTCCACACTAGTGCTCCTAGGGTCAAGCTCTGGCTTTGCTTCTGATTCCAGCTGCCTGGTGATGTGTACCCTGCGTGGCATCAGGGGACAACTTGAGTAGTTGGGTCCCTGACACCCACATGGGAGAAGTGTGAGTTCCCAACTCCTTCAAACTGATCTAGCCCTAGCTGCTGAGGACATTTAGGGACTGGACCAGTAGATGAGGTGTCTTTTTATACTTTTTTAAATTAAAAAGAAATGTGAAAGAGCTCCAAATAGCCGAATCTGGTACCATGTGGTTGAAATAGATTATAATCCAATGAATAAAGCAAATATCTATCTATTGATATGAGCAATCTTCAAAAACTTCACGGCAGCAGGTGGGCAGGGGAGGTGTAGACATCTGGCCCACTGGTTGAGATGCCAGTTGGGGTGCTGGTGTTCCGTGTCGGCACGCCTGGATCTGGTTCCTGGCTCTGGCTCCTGACTGCTGTTCAGGTGAGGTCTCTGAGAAGCAGCTGTAATGCTCATGTAGCTGACCTCAGATGCTGTCAGCTATTGCGGGCATCTAGAGCGAGGGGGCCAGCAGATGGGGAGCTGGTCTGTCTCTAATAAAAAAAAAGAAATCTTAAAGTTCACTGGGCAGGGTGCATGGTTTGTGGCATAATGGGCTAAGCCACCATTTGAAATGCTGTCACAGCATATCAGAGTGCTGGTTCAAGTCCTGGCTAATCTGCTTCCCATATAGGTTCCTGTTTAATGTCCCTGGGAAGGCAATAGGAGATGGCTCAAATGCCTGGGCCCCTGCTCCCCTCATTAAAGACCCAGTTAAAGTTCTTGGCTCCAAGCTTTAGCCGGCCTACCCCCGGCTTGCTGCATCCAACTGGGGAGTGAAACAGAGGATGGAGGCATGTGCATTCTATATATAATTGCCTTTCAAATAAATAAAACTAATCTTTCAAAAAATTATGTATACAAAAAAGGTTGATGGTAAACTTTCTAATAGAGGAATTAGTCTGATAATATTTAAATTTCTCTAGTCTTAAAATTACAAAAGGGACACTCAGAGATTCTATATCTTCGGATGTATTACTGTAGGAAGTCATGATTATTCTTGTCAAAAAAAAGAGCTCAAACCCGACCTAGCCTCTAGTTAATACTGCCCAATAGACACGTGAGCCACAGATGCAGATCATATGCATAATTTAACGTTTCTGTAGCAGGACTAGGCATGTGGCCAAGAGTCAGACACTTGTGTCTGGTATCAGCGTATCTGGGTTCACTATCCACGTTTGCTCCTGACCCCAGTTTCCTGCTATGGCAGACCTTGTGGAGAGAAAAGTGATTGTCCAAGTGACTGAGTTTCTGACACGCACATGGAAGACCTGGACTGTGTTCTGACTGTTGTGGGCATCTGGGGTATAAAGCAGCAAATGAGTGCTCTCTGTCTCTCACATAAATAAATAAAAAGTTAAAACCCCAATTTTCTAATAGCCCTATTTTTAAACTAAAAAGCAAATTATTGTTAATTTATATTTTATATAACCTACCTTATCTAACAAATTACTTCAACATGTAATACATATGAAAAAACCATTAGTGGCATTTTTTTTTTTTTGGTAGGTAATAAGCCTTCCAAATCTTTTTTTTTTAATTTTTTAAAAGATTTATTTATTTTTATTACAAAGTCAGATATACAGAGAGGAGAAAAGACAGATAGGAAGGTCTGATGGTTCACTCCCCAAGTGGCCGAAACGGCTAGAGCTGAGCCAATCTGAAGCCAGGAGCCTCTTCCGGGTTTCCCAAGTAGTGCAGGGTCCCAAGGCTTTGGGCCATCCTCAACTGCTTTCCCAGGCTACAAACAGGGAGCTGGATGGGAAGTGGGGCAGCCAGGATTAGAACTGGCGCCCATAGGAGATCCTAGTGGTGCGTGCTAGGCGAGTACTTTAACCACTACTCTATCGCTCCGGGCCCTTGTTCATATCTTAATTTGAACAAGTCAACTGTAAACAGATATTTATGGGAAATAGAAAAGATATTTATGAGATAATAAGAGAAATTATAATATTTACTAGAAAATAGGTAACATTAAAGAATTTTTTAAAAAGATGTATTTATTTTAAAGGCAGAATTACAGAGAGAAAGAGAGAGACATGGAAAGACTGAGGAATCTTCCATCTGTTAGTTCACTCTCCAAAATGGCTGCAAGGGCTGGGGCTGGGGCAAGCAAAGCCAGGAGCTTCATCGGGCTTCCATCATGAGTGCAGGGCTGATGGACTGGTGCAGACATGTTAGCAGGGAGCTGGCTCGGAAGTGGCGCAGCAGCATGTGACCTAGCACCCAAATGGGAGACTGGCACTGCAGGGAGCAGCTTAATCTGTTCCATCACAATGCCAGTTCCAGAAAACAGTATTATGATTATATTAAAAATAAGAGACCTCAGGCCCGGCGCCGTGGCCTAGCGGCTAAAGTCCTCACCTTGAACGCGCCAGGATCCCATATGGGCTCCGGTTCTAATCCTGGAAGCTTCACTTCCCATCCAGCTCCCTGCTTGGGACCTGGGAAAACAGTCAAGGATGGCCCAAAGCTTTGGGACCCTGCACCTGAGTGGGAGACCTGGAGGAAAGTTCCTGGTATCAGATCAGCACAGCACCGGCCATTGTAGTCACTTGGGGATGAGTCATCGGACAGATCTTCCTCTCTGTCTCTCCTCCTCTCTGTATATTTTATTTTGTAATAAAAATAAATAAATCTTTATTAAAAAAAATAAGAGACCTCGTATTTTTTTAGACACTGAAATCGTTACACTATTTGTTTTACTGTTTGAAAAACTAACACAATTTTAAAACTTTTTGGGGGGAGGGAAGTTTACTAAATTAACCATTCAGTGACTGCAGAAATACTTCTGTCCCTGATGGGGATTGACCAGAGAAGGCAGGGAGGGGGAACAAATTGCTTAGAACTGTCAAAAGTCTGACTGGATGGCTTCCACGGCCAAGCCCAGAGTTCCATGAGCAGGTAAGAGCTTGCCTGCTGCTTGGATTCCCCAGCCCCTTTCACCCTCATCACCCTTATCTCCTCTGGCTTCCGGTAAAGGGCAAAAGTCTCTCAAGAAGGAATTTTAGAGTAAATATTGTGAACAACTTACAGCCAAAAGACTCTGGTTTATCTCTGCACCTTCCATCTTGGTCTGCCTGTCTGAGTCCCTGGCATCTGCTGCTCTTTCACTGCCAGCCAAGTCAATAAACGAGATCCTGGAGAAGAGAAACAGCAGGAATGATTTCTTGGGGGTTTGTTGACATTCTGCGACCTCAGGAAGAGATTAATTCTGGCTCATCCTTGGGAAAGAAAAAAAACATTACTGTCAGCATTCCAGAAGGAGCACAAGATTCTGACCTGTCAGCTGCTGCTGGCACCCTTCACTCAGACACTTCTGTTGGCTTTAATTATTTTTTTGAGAACAAAAGAAGTAAAATTAACAAAATATTTTTTCCATAAGGCTAAATCATCACAATGCAAATCACTTTTGTGACCACTTAGATAATGAAATAAAAACTTTTTTGGGCTACTTTCCAGCTTAGAGGGAAAAAAAACAGAGAGAAAGAAAGAAAAAGGACTCATTATTCAAAGGCGAGACAGGCTCATCCATCAGCACGGCAGAGAGTTTGCTAAGATAGCACAAGTGAAGCCATGGACATATCCAATTGTCTCACGGTTTCTTTCAAGAAGAATGAATTAATAACCGCCCACCCCTCTTCTTTATGGTCTGTGAGCTCACAAAGATGCATTTTCTGCTGTTTCTCTGCTGATACTGTGTTTTATGTTAGAAGCAATCAATGTCCCTTTTAATAACTTAGGGTTGACCAACAATAGGTCATTACTTCATGGTTAATCAACTGATGGCACTTTAGTACAATGATTTATTTCATGGCTAACAACTCAACTTTGTATCCCTGTAATGAAAAACTCTGAGGAGGGAGGGTGTTCTGTTGTTGATAACACATATTTCAAAGTCATAGTAAGGAAAGGCAGACGATGCAATTCCCTGCAGAGTTCCAGCTCACCTGCCAAATGTCCTCTTGGCTGAATCTTTGATCTGAATTTGGATGATAGCATGGGAACGAGAGGAGTCGGCATTTACCCCAGTGGCCCCAGTGCTGCGCTCCTTGCTGCCCTTTAAGATGACCTGAAAACAAAATCCACAGGGTGACTTCCCCAAGGACTAAACTAAACCCTCTAGCTCCTAAGAGTTGGCTGGGAGCCATAAGGATCAAACACACAATTTGGTCAGTCACTGCAGTTTTTTTCTGTCCAGGTGGAAAGCTGCCCAAGCTCTAAATCATACAAAGTAAGTACCCAAAGGCAACGAAAACAATATGGAATACTAATCTTGTCAGAGAACATTCAAAAGCTCAAGAGCTAATTTACTTCTTGATCTCATACACTCTTCTTAATATCTTTGATGGATTTAGACCAACTAAAACCCCCAGGGCATAACTTGGCTTCAAGCAAGATCTCTTAATACCTATCTATCTTAGTAACTGAAGCAAAGGAAAGAAACGTGTATTATGGAATGACTGATCGCATCCACCTGTTCACCCAGGATGGAATCATAAAGGGGGCCAGGCCCGATGTGTACAGGAACACGAAAGGGATGAGTTATTGTAATTACCCCGAGCCCATGATTTCCCTGGAGAGAAGTCCTCCTCCTACCCTAACTGGGAGTCGAGACTAACAAGTTCCTCTGGACACAAAAGAATAAGGGAACGGGGGTGGGGGGTGGGGGGTGGGAGGCGAGACCCCACAACAGGACTCTGGCCATTGAAAACACAGCCGTATTGGAACACACTGTGCAGATTCTGGATGGGGGAAAACATCCTGATTACTAGGAATTAAAAAGGTAAAGAACTTTAGAAACATGATCTGATATAATCCCCACATCAGCCTAAGGTGAGTACTAAGCATGCCTGCCGTCCCAGTTACAGCTCAGGAGCAACTTCAGAGGCTGATTTGCTCTTAGCCTGCTGAGCACCAGAGCCAAATTCCACATCTGGTATGCCTGACTCCATGCTGTTTCTACCACACCGTGGGACAGATATGATAAATTCATTGATTTGGGAGTGGAATTAAGTAAAGGAATGTTGCCCTTTTTTCCTCAGTCTCCCAGAATTTTAATTTATACCATACTGAACATAGCCAGTTTTCAGGATAAACATTTAAAAATTAAGGATCAAACTTCGTAAGAGGACATAAAATATTACAAGTAGGAATAGGTAGATTGCTAAAAATAAATTAGGGCCTGGGGCAATGGCTCAATTGGCTAATCTTCCCTTGCAAGTGCCAGGATTCCCAATGTGTGCTGGCTCATGTCCTGGCTGCTCCACTTCCCATCCAGCACACTGCTTATGTCCTGAGAAACCAGTGGAGGCTGGGACCTTGAAAAAGGCTGGGGACATAGAAAAAGCTCCTGGCACCTGGGTTTGGATTGACTCAGCTCCAGCAATTGTGGCCATTTGGGGAGTGAACCAGCTGGTAGAAAATGTCTCTTTCTCTTCTCTCCATAAATCTGCCTTTCTTTTTCTTAGGAAGGCAGAAACACAGAGAGAAAAGATCTTGAGTTCATCCCTTGGCTCACTCTGCAATGGCCAGAGTTGAGTCAATCTGAAGCCAGGAGCCAGGAGCCTTCCACTGGTGTCCCACATGGGTTCAGAGTCCCAAAGTTTTGGGCCATCTTTGAATGCTTTCCTGGGCTACAAGTGAGGAGCTGAATGGGAAGTGTAACAGCGAGGACACAAATGGGCACCCATATGGGATCCCTGGTGTGCAACGTGAGGACTTTAGCCACTAGGCTACCATGCTGGGCCCCAAATAAATCTTTAAAAAAAACTGGAAAAATTAAAAATAAGTTTCTTCATAGTCTAACAGTTAAGTTTCTAAAGATTATGTGAGACTTAAAGGTTTAGAATATTTAAATGTGAACAGTTTGCTAACAACGTAAAGATTAAATTGATAACTGTTTGTAAAGAGAACCTGCTAGTTTATAAAACCAGACCATCAGATACATGAGCAGCATGTTGCTGTTATCTAGAAATCAGAAACCAGGGTTGCATATAAGCACTTTATCTAAGTTCAGATGTTGGGCAGGATACTTAAGGCAAAGCTCTCACTGAACCATTTATTTTTTATTTTTTTTCTTAATTTTTAAAAATTTTATTTTTGATGATTTCTACATAGTTGATAAGGGCTACAGAAGGTGGGAAAGAACACTGTTTCCACATTCTCTCTTTTTTTCTTCCTGTATCTAGGGGAAGGGGAGAGCTAACGGGAGAAGCCATACCCACCCTCCTAACCATCCCAGGGTCCCCGATGTGGGGGCATGCTCCGAGGGTCCTGCTCAAGTGGTTTGATAGTTCAACAGTTATGTATTGCTACCAATCTTGCCACTCCAAGCATGATGAAAAGTCTCCAGAATCCACTGGCTGACATAGCCCAACTTGGAGTCTCTGTTTAGCCAGATTTTCATTGTCAACACTTGGCTGGGGTAGATGATCAATTTGTTCTGTCTTCTGTCATGGTACCAGGTATCCTCTGCAGGTTCCAATGCACTGCCATATCCTACATGTGCATCTGGATATGCTGTCCACTGCTGCTCCATCTGAGCCACTGAGGAGGCCCAGCTCAGATACATGCACTCTATGGTCAGACCATGGAACCTGCAATTCAATTCTCTCCATGGTTGGAGTTCCGAGTCCAGTGATTCAGTTGGGGGAATCTTCAAAGAAACCTCATCTGAGGTGATTCTAGACCTGATTTTTGTGTGTGCTTGCCAATATTGAGTTCAGCATAGTCCATCACCCCAATCAGCTTATGCGCACACTGGTGGTTGTAATTGCTGGGTCAGTTCTGTCTCCAGCCCTGTCTCCAACCAGTGAATGTTGGAGCTGAGCCCAGTCCTGCCCACTACACACTCGACCTTCATGTAAGCCAGTGGGAGCTGCAGCCTAGTTGGAGTGACCTGCAGAGTGACAGATCTTCCATGGAGGAAGGTACGGAGGGAGGAAACAAAGGAGGGAGGGAGGAAAGAAAGAGAAAGCAAGGAAGGACAATCTATTTGGAGAAATGCAAGTTTAGGATCTGATAAAAACGAGTGCAATAATCTTAAAAATCATTAGGGATCCTTTTCCTCTGTTTCCCAAACTTCTCTTTCCCTAACTAGAATATCAGCGCTAAGTCTAGGTCCTTTAGAGAACATGCTATGTGAGTGGTGAAGCAGGGATCTGGGTAAAACAGGAGACAGACACAACTTCCAAATTCCATGGTTCTAGGAAACATTCAGAGACTTACTAGCCCATGTGACAAACTGGGCTAGCATCACACTAAGCCTTTTAGTATGAGATCTCATGTCCTTCTATCATCCAACTCGATCATCTATTCTCATTTATGTGTCTCAGATAGAGGCTATGCTTAAAGACAGGCAGTACTGGCAGCAAGCATCCTCTGGTTGTAAGGCTTGAGCCATCTCAAGCTTCCTGCATGAATATCAAAGGAGGACCCAGAGCAATGCATCAGTCTGGCATCGTGTATAACATCACTATTATCTGTAAACACCTGAGGAGCGCAAAAGAAGAAGTTCTTGGGTGGGCAACATCCAGGAAGGTTTGTCTAAAGTCCTAGGAAAGCATACCTAAGATTATGTAAAATGTCTAAAAGAATGGTTTAGAATCTTGTAAATATCTATTACTGAAAATAAGAAAGAGCCCATTTAATTGCCTGACAAAATCTGGATTCCGAATGTGATGAGGTGGTGAGTCCTCTGCAAAGGAATAGTCCTGCTACTTCATGGGAAAGAATAGGGAAACAAATATCAGAAGAAAAAAAAAATCCTGAAGGAAATACACAACAATTACGTGTGAACAATGAAGCTGCCAGTCGTGCAGGCAGGCGACAAGTGGCCACGTCTGAGCAATGCTGCAGGTGATCAGGGGGTGGGAGGCACTGGAAGATGACACCAGAGCCAACACACAGGTGATACCCACAGTGACACCTGAGAGAGAGAACGTGCGACACCTAAGTCAGCAAGTGCTGCTGTTTTAAGCCACTGAGGGCAATTGTGTCAGACATACATAATTTAAACCAGCTTTCCACCTCCATCTCAGGTGGCTTCCCGCTTGTTGAACACTGCTTATGTTGTAGACTGAGGGTATCAATGGCAATTCAACAAGGTGTTCTTGAGTAACAAGAAACGTCTGTTCTTCTTTGGAACCATATTTTAGGATAACATAGTACCATAAGGTCTTCCAAAACAGAGGGGCTCACTAGACACCTAACTGTATTAGCACAGCTCAGGCACATGGCCAAGGTAAAGGAATTTCCTTCCAGTGTTCGTTTCTTCCTCATTTAGTTGGCCAAATTTCCAGGAACAAAGAAATCATGAGGACCAAACTTGCCTGAGACTTGAGGCATGAATAAAAAGACCACAGAAAATAAGCTTCTGAGAAACAATTTCCTTGCAACTCCTAATGGAGGAAGCTCTGGACAGTTTAAGATGCTTACGGCAGGCCCAATGCAGCAGCCAAGCAGCTAAAGTCCTCCCCTTGCATGAGATGGGATTCCATATGAACACTGGTCTGTATCCTGGCGGCTCCACTTCTTTTCCAGCTCCCTGTCTGTGGTCTGAGAGAGCAGTTAAGGGTGGCCCAAAGCCTTGGGACCCTGCACCCATGTGGGAGACCAGAAAGAAGTTCCAGTTTCCTGGCTTTGGATCAGCTCAGCCCTGGCCACTGTGGGCACTTGGAAAGTGAACCAGCAGATAGAAGATCTTTCTCTTTGTATCTCCTCTCTGTAAATACGACTTTCCAATAAAAAATAAATCTTAAAAAGTTCAGGGATTCAGGGGAGCTCTTTTAACATGTCCTGTCCCCCACTTGACTTTACAAGCACTAGAAAGTGACCCTATAAAACAGACACAATAGGGCCCAGCGCGATAGTTTAGTGGATAAAGTCCTCACCTTGCATGCGCCGGAATCCCATATGGGCTCTGGTTCTAATCCTAGCAACTCTACTTCCCATCCAGCTCCCTGTTTGTGGCCTGGGGAAGCAGTCGAGGATGGCCCAAAGCTTTGGGACCCTGCACCTGTGTGGGAGACCTGGAGGAAAGTTCCTGGTTCCTGGCTTCGGATCGGCACAGCACTGGCCATTGTGCTCACTTGGGGAGTGAGTCATCGGACGGAAGATCCTCCTCCTCTCTGTAAATCTGACTTTGCAATAAAATAAATAAATAAATCATCAAATCAAAACAAAAATCAGACACACTCAAGTGCTGTCGTCGGGTTTTGGATCTCAGAATGCAGGAGTCAGAAACACACAGACATGTGCTCGGTTTGGCAGCACATACATTAAAACTGGAATGATACAGAGAAGATTGCATGGCCCCTGTGTGAGGATGACATGAAAACCTGTGAAGCATTCCACATTTAAAAAAACGAAAGAAAGAAAGAAACACCTAGACACAAGACCCCAAACTTTAAGAAAAATTTCCTATTTGTTTTAGGAAAAAGAAGCTATTACAAAATATGTCCATATTTACACCCTGCCACTTTACACACCTTAGTTTAACTCTCAGGTTTGAAAAAGCAACACAAGAATTTCCTATTAGCACTGTTATCTGAAATTTAAATATACCCTCTTTAAATACCCATTTTTAATCAAACAATTATGAAAGATAACTGTTATAAATATACTAATTCACCGAGTGTTTTTTTCCTTAAAAAGAAAAGGTGATTCCTAGTTAGGCACTGTGGGTAGTTTCACTATGGCTAGCGAAATGGATATACACTTCAAAAATTAATCCAGGGCCCGGCGCGGTGGCCTAGGAGCTAAAGTCCTTGCCTTGAACACACTGGGATCCCACATGGGCACTGGTTCTATCCCAGCAGCCCCTCTTCCCTTCCAGCTCCCTGCTTGTCGCCTGGGAAAGCAGTTGAGGATGACCCAACACCTTGGGACCCTGCACCTGTGTGGGAGACCTGGAAGAGATTCTGGCTCCTAGTTTTGGATTGGCTCAGAACCGGCTGTTGCGATCACTTGGGGAGTGAATCATCGGAGAGAAGAGCTTCTTTGTCTCTCCTCTCTGTATATCTGACTTTGCAATAAAAATAAATAAATCTTAAAAAAAAATCCAAACTAGAATCAGATTTTTCAGTTAAAAGCTATGTGTCCTTGGGTCGTAACTTAAGTTTTCAGCATGTTTTCTCATCTGTAAGATAAAGTTTGTTATGTTTACTTTATCATGCTTTTATGATGACTAAATGGGATAATTAAATCTCTAACATCGCATTTGATAAAGAGTTAAGTATCTGGTAAACACATAGATTTTATTATTACCACTTGGTGAGAAGGAAAGCAGGAAGGATGCAGGGTAGAGTTAGCTAGATTTTAATTTTGGCACCCATTGCAAGCATTTTAAAAATACTGCCATTGAGGAGAGCAATATGAAGCAATACTAAAAGTAAACTGTCAAGTGCCTGGCCTGTCCTTGTGCTCTTTTCATCTTTACTCTAGCTGGCCTTGCTGGATATATTGGAATTGTTGAGGGGCTTAAGGGAACCATGTTCTTGTCACTGACACAGGAAAGATGTCCAAGGACAGGACACAAAGGCCAGTAGGAAGGTGAGATTTATTGACAGTGAAAGTACCCACTCTATAGTCAGAGTATGAGCAGGATTGGAAGGATGAGTTGCATTGAGTGCCCAGGACCTGAAGTAGATTCTGAACTCAGGGCAGAGACATGTACCATGTTCGGAGGCCGGGGGGCGGGGGGGAGGTGCGGGTGTGGTGTCTCTGAGCACAACTGGCATAACATGCTCTTAAATATACTATGTTTTATCAGCATCTCAGATCACAAGAGTTATATATATATATTTTAACTATTATAAGGAATCAAAAGTTGATCAGCAGTCAAGACAGCTGTTCAAACCGGTAAAAACCAGTTTTTGTTTATCTGCTCAGTGCAAGGAGATGGTTGCATCTGGCTACTTAATTACTGATGGTAAGGGCCTGTTTCTTTTCAAGAGATGGTTTGATGTTGTTAATGCCACATAGCAGGTTTCTGGCCTAGGCCAATTATTTGTTTATTCTGTCTCACTAAGCCAGCCATCTACACTACATCTGAATGACTATGATGGTTTCAGGTCAGAAACAGGTGTATTTTTTCTTCATTTTTAATCTTTTATTATCATTATCATTTTATGATACAGTTCCATGGGATTTCCCTTATCCCCTAACTTATAAAATAACGCTCACTCTCATATTTTTTTTGATGACAGTAAAAATCATACAGTCATTTTGGAAAACAGTGTGGCAGTTCCTCAAAGAACTCACAGTATGACCCAGTGATTCTCCTCCTGGGCATATACCCCCCAAAACCTGAAATAGCTAAATCCACATAAAAACTTCTACATGAATGTTCATAGCAAGATTATTCATAATAACCAAAAATGAAAACAATTCATTGACTGATGAATGGATACATAAAATTTAGGGTCTATTCATACACCAGTATATATTCATCCATAAAAAAGGAATGAAACGCTGGTACACAGTAAACCTGAAAATATTACGTGAATAAAAAAAGAAGCCAGAGACAAAAGCAGCCTACTGTATAAGTCTATTTATATGACTGGAATAGGCAAATCTATAGAAATGGAAATTAATTGTTGCACTGTGGATGGGAGAAATAGGGAGTGACTAATAAAAGCTACAGGGACTCATTCTGGAATTAATGACAAGGGTTTCACAATTTTATGAATATACTATAGAAATCACTGAACTGTACTCTTGAACAAAGTAAATTTTATAGTCTATGAACTATATTTCCACTTAAAATAATAATATAACCCATGCCTGGGGCCCCCATCCCTAAGAAAGCCTGATCTAAACAACATGAGGACTCAGGCATTAAGACATAAAACTGGGAAGATGGACACAGAATGAGACAATTCTCTTTTGACACAAACACCTAACAAAACATTCATATCTGGATAAGTGTTCGGGTACAGTGGGTTAAGCTGCTTCCTGCAATGTTGGTCAGTTCAAGTCCTGGCTGTTCCACTTTTGTTTTTAAAAAAGATTTATTATTATTTATTTGAAAGGCAGAGTTACAAAAAAGGCAGAAGTCTTCCATCTGCTGGTTCACTCCCCAAGTGACCACAACAACTGGAACTGGGCCTGTGCAAAGCCTGGATCTAATCCAGAAGCTTCTTTTGGGTCTCCTAACCAGGGATGCAGGGGCCTAAGCACATGGGGCCATCCTGCACTGCTTTCCCAGGCTATTAGTAGGGAACTGGATAAGAAGTGGAAAAGCATATGGGATGCTGGCAACACAGGTGGAGGCTTAACCTATTATGCCATGGCACCAGCCCCCACTCCATTTTCAATCCAGCTCCCTGCTAATGTACCTGGGAGAGCAGCAGAAAATGGCCCGAGTACTTGAGGTTTACATCCACATAGGAAACCTAGATGGAGCTGCAAGCTCCTGGTTCAGTCCAGCCTAACCCCAGCCATGGAGGCCATTTCTGAAGTGAACCAGTCTTTCCCTCTCTTTCCGCAACTCTGCTTTTCAAATACACAATTAAAAAAAAAAAAAGACAACAACTCATATCCAGGCTACACAAATTGTTAAGGAAAAGATAGAAACCCCCAAATAAGCAAAGGACTTAAACTGGGATTCCTAAAAGAGGAAATCCAAATGACATACTAAAGATAAGATGTTTAAGTTTATCCTCACTCAGGAAAATGCAAATTTAAACCACAATGAAGTATAATTTAAAAACTTCTAGTTTGGTAAAAATTCAAAAATCTATTAATAAAAACAACTGGTGAGATGAAGAACAACGGGATTGGCCATCTAGTACTAGTGGGGAAGGATTCCACCTTGGAAAACAGGTGACCTTCAGTGAAGTGGAAGATCAGCATGCCGTGCTCCCCAACCATTCCCAACTACTGCAGGGCCCAGAGAAGCCAGGCGCTGTTACTGAAACACACGAGCGAGATGAGGCCACTCACGGCTGCATTGTTCAGAACATTCCCAGAACAGAAACAACTCCAACTGTCCATCAGTGAGAGAATGATAAACTGCGGTAATGTTCCTATGACAGAACACTCCACAGCAAATAATAATGAACAGAATAACAGCAATATGCAAAAATACAAAATAGAACTCAAAAGCACAATGATGAACAAAAAAGTAAGACACAAAAGAGTGTATAGCCAGTGTGGCTCTATTCACATGATTTCAGGATGAATGCACAGGTGCTGAAACTGTTAACAAAGAAGGTGATTAGCATAAAGTCAGTACAATAGCAAGTCGCACAGCCAGGCTTGTGGTGCGCTGCAATGCTCTATTTCCTGATCCAGATAGGTGGCGCTTATTTCCTTATTATTACACATTCCTGCTGCATGCACATCTCTGTATAGTGCCATGTTTTCATAATAAAACAGGTTACAACATTTTTTAAGTGAGGGGGGAAAATCTCCCAATATCTAATATAAAGCCAAGGTTAAGAAACACTGCATTAAAGGATGGCTCATTAGAAACATATTTATACAGAAGTTATTAAAGGTCCAAATCAGGGGGAAAAAAACCCCTAAATCTCATGTTAAGTTATGTTAACTTCAGAGGCACTGGGGTTTTATATATATTAGGGTACCTTTATTTTCTCTCTTCTTGCATATTTCTGTAATGTTTAGGTATAACAGTGATCAAGTACTGCTTTTTTTATACTAACATCCTTTAATAAAAGATCTCAAAATTTCTTTCAAAAAACAAAAACAAACAAACAACCCATTGTCTCAGGAGTTGGGTGCGTGCCACAGGCGTTCCATGTTGGGATGGCAGCTGGAATCCTGGTTGTTCCATTTTCTATCTTGCTCCCTGCTAACGCGCCTGAGAAAACAGCCGACTATTCAAGTGCTTGGGCCCCCATCATTCGTGTGGGAGACCAAGATAGAACTGCCGGCTCTGGCTTTGGCCTGGACCAGACCTGGCTGTTGTGGCCACATGGGGACTAAACCAGGTAATGAATGATTTCTGTCACTCTGAAATAAAATAAATCTTTAAAAAAATGGTTGACTCAGGAAAATGACATTTTCACCATAGTCATTGACTTGAACCCCAGTGAAATACATGCTTATGTAACATTTCATTTTAAATATTTGTCTCTAGCAGCTTTTCCCAGAGTCCACTACCATAGAAAAATACATTAACAGCATTTAAAACTTGCCATGGAGTGTCTGCCAATGTGCTGAAATCCTACCATGTCCTACTGCTCCTTAACCTACAGGGAAACAAGTTAGCCTCTCAGAAGCAGGTCAAATTTTACAACTGCAAAGTGGCGTGCTTGCTACTGACCTTGGCTTAACTGTGAGTCCACTGCATTGGCTAGAAGACAAAATGAATTCCTTCTCTGTCCTTAGACTGCTGGGGGGGTGACGGGGGGGGCGGGGAGCAAGAGAGAGGAAGAGTTACCTCCAAGAGGAGCCCCACACTCTCCACCTGAAGCTCTCGAAGTCCCACTATCTGCACGGTATGTTTGCTATCTTCTCTTGCGAAGAGCCTGCAGGGGCAAAAGCAAGGTCAGCAGAGTGTTCACCTCCCCTTCTCCCCCTCCTGGTCTCAGACTCAGGGTAAAGGGACAGCCCTGGATTGCTTAAAACAAATCAGCATCTTTGGCTACAATTTTAAAATGAACACATAAGCAAAACATGCCAATCAACACATGGCATTTTCCTGGCTAGAGTGATTGATTCAGTAATGGATATGGGATCTATGCCAGTCCAGTCAAAACAAAGACCTGGCGTGGTTGTCAGGTGCCTGGTGGCAAGATAGCTTCCCTCCATTCTCAGACAGTAAAAGTGTGGGGATGGGGCAGAGGGGCAGTGCCAAGGTGTTGTATGTGTGCTGGTTCGAGTCCCAGCTACTCCACTTCCAATCCAGCTCCCTCCTAACAACCGGAGAAAGCAGTGGAAGATGGTCAAGTCCTTGGGGCCTTGCACTCATGTGGGAGATCCAGGGGGAGCTCGTGGCTGGATCTGCTCTGGCTGTTGCAGCCATTCAAGGCATGAGCCAGCGGATGTAACATCTCTTTAATTTTCTCTCTGCGACTTATGACTCCACATTTCAAATAAAAACAGATCAATCTTCAGGGGGAAAAAAAGCATTAAAAGTAGATCCTTTCTCTCCTCTCCTTCTGGCTTCCCGCCCCCATTCTTCCTCCCCTTCCTCCTTGCCTCCCACCACCTCCACCCTGTTCCTGCCCCACATGAATAAACCTCCTAAGATAAAAAAAAAAGTGGATCCTTAGGACATCCTTTAGCTGTTGAAGCTAGTGTTGAGATGCAGTGAGTAAAGCTGTTACCTGCAACACTGTCATCCCACACGATTTATTTATTTTTATTGGAACGTCAGATATACACAGAGGAAGAGAGACAGAGAGGAAGATCCTCCGTCCGATGACTCACTCCCCGAGTGATCACAATGGCTGGTGCTGCGCTGATCTGAAGCCAGGAGCCAGAAATCTCTTTCCGGGTCTCCCACATGGGTGCAGGGTCTCAAATCCTTGGACCATCCCCGACTGCTTTCTCAGGCCACAAACAGGGAGTTGGATGGGAAGAGGGGCCGCCAGGACTAGAAGCAGCGCCCATATGGGATCCCGACACATTCAAGGCGAGGACCTTAATCACTACGCTATTGCGCTGGGCCCACGAGCACAGCTTTGGGTCCTAGCTGCTCTGAGTCTCTCCCTCCCTCCCTAACCCTGGCTTTCAAATAAATAAATCTTGGGGGGAGGTAGAGGCAGAATAAAAACATCCGTGAGCTGTTGAAACAAACCATCCCTGAAGATAGACTGTCCTTCGGGATTTTTGGTTATTTGAGCCAATGATTTTCCTAAACGGTGATAACATTTATTTTTTTCTCAGTGTAAGGAGTCCTCACACATCTTCCAACAGAGCAAGGAATGGGCTGCATCTGGATGCCTCAGGCTACAAGTGAATGGTTAAGGTCTACCATCATCATTAAGCCAGATGCACTCAGAGCTATGTGCTGGATCTATCAAAGCACTAAGATTGCTTCTCCTTTAGTACAATATGAAGGTTAGCAATGGAACTCCACTTCATTGCCAAATACAGAAAATGTTTTATGTACATATATATGTATGCACGTGTGTATATATATATATGTATATATATTTTTAAAAGATTTTTTTTTTAATTGCAAAGTCAGATATACAAAGAGGAGAGACAGAGAGGAGGATCTTTCGTCTGATGATTCACTCCCCAAGTGATTGCAATGGCCAGTGCTGCACTGATCCAAAGCCAGGAGTCAGGAGCTTCTTCCAGGTCTCCTTTTCTTTGTGATACAAGATTAGGTTGTAGAATAAGAATTGTAGCAGGAACTTCTATTGTTTTTAGGTAAAACAAATGGCAGAATTATCCTTAGAAACACTTGACCATGCTGTAAAAAGCCTGAGCCAGAGTTTGACTGTTTCTGTATAAATAAAGCGGACAGCTTTCCCACACTGTTCATTATGATCATGGAATCCTAGTGGTGTATTTTCTCTATGCCTCATCCACACACCCTTTTCGAGTTCCGAACTCAGCTGGAGCTGGACTCTGGCAAAAGGACATTTTGCATGAGAATAAAAGCCACTGTTGAGGCCAGCATGTGGCACAGCAGGCGTAATAAAGAGGCACCTGTTAGATGCTGGTTTGAGTCTCAACTATTCCATTTTCAGTTCAGCTTCTTGCTAACATGCCTGGGAAAGCGGCAGTGGATGCGCCAAGTGTTTGGGACCCTGCACACATGTGGGAGACCCACAAGAAGCTCCTAGCTTTGGACTGGCCCAGCTCCAGCTGCTGTGGTCATGTAGGGAATGAACCAGTGGATGGTAGGTCTCTCTTGCTCTGTTTCTTCCCTACTACTTCTCCAACTCTGATTTTCAATTCAGTAAATCTTTAAATTAAAAAAAAATGGCTGAAAAGAATAGCACAGGATATAATAAGTACATGATGGATACTGCTTTTTGACTTCCTGAAATAATGTTTTCACAGACTAGAACAGAAAGTCTTTTAACACAATAAAGATATTGATCATTTAAAACATTAGAAGGCTAGCTTATGTTTTTCTCTAGCTGAACTGAAAAATTAAAAATAAAATTCAGTGGCAAGCATTTGGCACAGTATTCTAGATGCTGCATCTCCTGCTGGAGTTTTGGATTCAGGTCCCATCTCTGCTTCCTATCCAGCTTCCTGTGATGTACTCTCTCTGGAAAATAGCAGGTCATGGCTGAAGGACTTGGGTCTCTATGACCTTATGGAAAATCTGAATGGGGTTCTGAGCTAGCACTGGCCTGGCTCCCCCAACCACAGGCGTTTTGGGGAATGAAGCAGTAAGTAGATGGGAGATTTCTCTGTCTAGCTCCACCTTCCAAATAAAAAGAAAAACTTTAGAAACTTATTTAGCCGATTTAAAAAACATCAAACACAGGAAGCCTTCATGCACAAAATGAAACTAACGTATCAAAGTCTGTCAGTAAGGCCTAAGGGTCAGTGATTCTGTGAGGCTCTGACTTTTAACCATAATGAACAGAAGTACAGCTGCCCAGGCAAATCCCAGTACCTTTTCCTCTTATTTAGGAGATCATAAAGCTGTCCACAGTAGATTTCATAGAAACTGATCCACACAAAGAGGTGCCTTCTTGGCTGAGAAACTTCTAGTTGCCTGAAGATATCTTTGGCAGCCAGAGCGTAAAGTCCCGGGTTCTCATGAGTTCCTATCATGGTGTAGGTCTTTCCAGCACCTGTCTGTCCATATGCAAAGCAAGTGGCATTGCCTCTAGGGAAAGAACAATTCACATCATTCATGTGTAATAAAAAACTACTAACCTACACACAGGTTTTTAATGAACAAAGTCAAGTGGAAATACAGTCAAGTGGAAATACAGAATACGTGACAAAACTCAAGTACAAATATACAACTCTTTAAGGAGAGGGAGAGCTTTATAAGACAAAAACATAAAAGAAAAAAAAAACATTCTCAAAGCAGTATCTTCCTTCATGAATTTTTTCTTTACAGAAGTGATAACACTACATAAGACAATATTGGAAAATAAGGAAACAAAATAAAGTCAGTGCAAGATTATACATTATATTTAGTTCTCATTTTATTTTACTTATTTTTATTTCTTTGCAAGGCTGAGAGAGAGAGACAGATCTGCTACTTCACTCCTGAAACACCTGCAACAGCTGGGGATTCAGGCCAGTGCCAAGAGCTAGAAACTCTATGGGTCTCCATTCTGGGTAGCATACAGGAGCCACCTCTGTTGCTTCCAGATACACATCAACAGGAATCTGGATTGGAAGCAGAGTTGGGATTCAATCCCAAGTACTCTAATAAGGGACTCAAGTGTCCTAAATAACATCTTAACCACTATCAATACCTGCTCTGTAAACAAGAATTTAACACACACACACAAATTGAAAAAGCAGAGTTACAGAGTACAGAGAGACAAAAAGAAATAAATCTTCCATCCCACTGTTTCACTCTAAATGGTGGCAACCAGGAACTCAGATTCTTCCTGGTATTCCACGTGGGTACAGAGGCCCCCCAAGCACTTGGACCATCTTCTGCCGCTTTCCCAGGTGCATCTGCAGGAAAATGAATGGGAAATGGGACAGCCAAGACTTGAACACGTGCTTTTATGGGATGGCACGGCATTGTAGGCAGCAGCTTAACCCACTATGTCATAATGTTGGCTCCCGTAAACAAGGATTTTTTTAAGAAACAGCTTGACCAACAGGCATTTACTGAATTCCTGAATTCCATAGTAAGTGCCTTAACAGGTCCTAGAAAATATTTTGTCTTATTTTTAGGAAATGGAAAAGTTTGGTGAATAAATTAAAAAGAATTGGGGCCAGTATGGTGGCTCAACAGCTTGATCTACTTGCAAGTGCTGGCATACCATATGGGTGCCGGTTCATGTCCTGGCTGCTCCACTTCCCATTAAGCTCTGTGCTTGTAGCCTGGGAGAACAGAGGAGGATGGCCTAAGTCCTTGGAACCCACATAGGAAGCCCCAAAGTCTCCTGGCTCCTGGGTTCAGATCAGTTCAGCTCCTGCTGTTGTAGCCATTTGGAAAGTGATCCAGTGGATGGCAGGTCTTTGTCTCTCCTCTTCATAAAATGTGCTTTTCCAATAAAAATAAATAAATACTAGAAGTAAAATAGAATGAACATAAATGATATCATGCTGTAACAAACAGGATGGTAGTGATCATTCATATGAAAACAGAAAAAGGTGAGATTAGTATAAATAATATACTTTAAGAGTTCTAAAGACTAAAGAACTGTGTTAGGCTCTGAAGACAAAAGCTGAAAGTATAGACAGTCTCCACTGTAGTGCAGGAACAGTGTGAGCAGGGGCCACAGCCACAGAGGGGCTGCCAGGGAAACCAAATACTGAGAGGAAAAAGGCCTGGGTTCTGGTCTCTGACCTGCCATTAAATGATTTTAGACAAGTCACATCACTCTATGGTCTATTTTCACTTTCTGTCAAGTTAAACCACAGAACCAACCTGAAGAGTGCATAATCCGGGAGTGGGAGTGGCCTGGGAGCGAAATAGTGGGCTCCTCCCTCTTGGGTTACCACTCCCACTGAAGAGAATGAAAACTAGGATAGGGGCTGGGGTGGCTAGACAGAGAGGCACCCAACAACACCTGTGAGGGCTGGATAGTTGAGCTGTTTAGATGGAACTAGGCTTTAATACCCATTGACATGTATGAGAGCCAAATGGGATGTGGGACAGACTGGACTAGTCTGCTACACTTACTGGCAAACCAGGGTAGGGGTGGGCCTGGTGGGGGTTATTGTGGGTCACTTCGACTAGGCTGTAGCTCCCACTGGTTTATGTGGGGGCCAAGCATGTGCTGGGCAGAACCAGGCTGGACTGCAGCATCCATTGGTTCCAGTGGAAGGAAACAGGGCTGGAAACAGAACCAACCCAGCAGTTGCAATCACCAGCTAATTAGGGCGATGGACTGTGCTGGGCCCTGTACTTCCTAGTACATACAAGAATCTGGTCTGGGAACACCTCAGACAAAGTTTCTTTGGGAAATCTACCCAATCGAACTGCCAGACTCAGAACCCTAATCATGAAAAGACAGAGGACAGAACAAGTCAATCAACACCTCAGCTATATGTTGGCAGTGAAAAACTGGGCAAACGGAGACTCTAAGATGGACTATGTCAACCAGTGGATTCTTCAACAACCTCATCGTGCTTGAAGTGGCAAGACTGGCAGCAATTCATAACTGCTGAACTATCAAAACCACTTGAACAAGACCCTTGAAGCATGCCCCATATCAGGAACCTGGGGTGGTTGGGAGACTGGGTGGGACTTCTCCCTTAATATCCCCCTTTACCTCAGATACATGAAGGAAACAACATGGAAATAATAGTCTTACCCACTTTCCTGTAGCCCTTGAACATTTTTTACCCGAATTAACTATGTAAATATTGTCAAAAATATAATTTAAAAAATGGAAAAAGTAAAAAAAAAAACTTCAAATAAAAGGTATCTTTAAGAATTTGGTAAGCAATATTTAATTATCTATCCTATGCCAATGAAAAAAAAATCAACTGAGTTAGTTAGCATACAGAATTCTTAGGAATAATATTGATGTAAAAAAAATTCTGTGCAAATTTACACTCGGTAAATCATTTAAGTAGACATTGCATTTTTTAGAAGTCTAATTTAAATTTAGCTCAAAACATAAATTCATGTTTAATTTCAAACTGAAAATATTTACAAAGCAATATTTACAAAATACAGAAAATTAAAAGCAAGAGAAGCACACAATGATTTTCGTACCCATTAAAGATGTGTTGAATGAGTGGATGAGTAGTCTTCATGTAGACATCCCGGTTGGTACACGCCTCCCCAAAGACTTCATCAAAATAAAAAACATGCTGAAAAAAAATTTATTTTTATAGAAAGAAACACATTATGGATTTTCTTTGCCACTATTCTAGTTAATATGTGATAAAAGCTTAAACACATTTTTAACTAATAATAACTGACTAGACCCGGCACAATGGCTCAATTGGCTAATCCTCCCCTTGCAAGCACCACAATGCCATATGGGTACTGGTTTGTATCCCAGATGCTCCACTTCCATTTCTGCTCCCTGTTTTTGTGGCCTGGGAAAGCAGTGGAGGATGGCCTAAAGCCTTAGGATCCTACACCCACATGGGAGACCCAGAGAAAATTCCTGGTTCCTGGCTTCAGATTGGCTCAGCTCCAGCCATTGCAGCCACTTGGAGAGTGAACTAGTGGACAGAAGATCTTTCCCTTTTTCTCTCCTTCTCTCTGTAAATCTGCCTCTCCAATAAAAATAAATGTTAAAAACAAAATTGAAGGTATGACAAACTTCAAGATAAACAGGCATTCAATAACTGTTCAATGACAGGATTTTCTTTTGCTTAACTATCTACAGACATGTTTTAGAATATAAAAACAGAATATTTGTTCATTCCTAAGGGATGCAAATTGGTGAGTATTAAATTGAGTCCCCTTAGATACAGGAAAGGATATGCTATGAGTATTATTCACATGGCGCAGTTCATGCCAGCATATCTGAAAATCTGGGGGAGTCTTAGGGGAAGATTGCCATTCTATATAAATTACATAGCTTTTGGGCCCGGTGGCGTGGCCTAGCGGCTAAAGTCCTCACCTTGGACATGCCAGGAGCCCATATGGGCGTTGGTTCTAATCCTGGCAGCTCCACTTCCCAACCAGCTCCCTGCTTGTGCCCTGGGAAAGCAGTCAAGGACGGCACAATGCTTTGGGATCCTGTACCCTCATGGGAGACCTGGAGGAAGTTCCTGGCTCCTGGCTCCAGATTGGCATAGTACCGACTGTTGTGCTCACTTGGGGGATGAATCATCGGACAGAAGATCTTCTCCTTCCTCTCTGTTTCTCCTCCTCTCTGACTTTTTAATAAAAATAAATAAATCTTTGAAAAAATAAATTACATGGCTTTTAATCCTATGAACATTTATTGCCTAACTGCTAGAATGTTAACAATAGGCACTGGGAGCCCAGGATATGATTCTAAGGATGTTAATCTATAAGCATACAAATCACTACAAGCAGACCAGGTAAAGTACGGGTGGAATTCAAACGGAAAACATATTCCCTCAGACTGGCAGACACCAGGAGAAAGACTGTAACGAGAATGGGCCAGGAAGCAGAAGAGTAGGGAAGGAGACAGATGGAGGGAAGCTGTTCTTGCGACAGAAGCATGATCAAGGAATTTAAGGAGAAAGAGTTAACTATTAATGTTTAGGGAAAGTAAAGATTAATGCGGCTAAAATAGAGGAGGTAAGAAAGAAGAAGAGTGAGGTAGAAAGGCTAGACTAATGAGCTAGGACGTGTCACAGATTCTTCATCACCAAGCTCAAGGGAGTGTATATAATGTGCACATTTAATTAAGTAGATAGTGGGGAAACAGTGAAGGGCTTTGCAAGGGGAAGGATACCCTGAGCCATTCTACTGCATTGATTTGGCTTCACAGTGAATGAAGTAAGAACAGGGACTCAAGCAAAAGTAATGAGGTATGCAAAGTCTAAATTGGATAAAAATAACAGAAATGAGGAGATGGACACATGAGAAATTTGACAACCAACTGAAAATGGGGAACTAGAGAGAGAAAGGGGTTGAAGATGCCTTCCACATTGAAAATCATGATAATCCAGAAAAAAACATAGGAGACCTCCACTGATTGGTCTGGAAAGCATGAATTCAGCAGCCATAATTAGTCACATAATTTAGAGGCTTACTGTGTTGACAGCCCAACTGTATCTGATTAGGAAATAATAATAATTTCAAGTTTGACTGAGACATGATGACAGTCCAGGCACTATGAATTGGAGGTTAGACCCTTGTCATCTTTTGGCCCTCTCTAAATATTAAAAGAATTCTTTTGGAGAGTGGCTAGTAGATGGCAACTCTGTGTGTCTCTATCTCCATCCATGACCGTCTCTTTTTTTCTATATCTCTGCTTTTGAAACAAATTAAATAAAAAATGATTTTTTAAAAATTCTTATTTGCAAGGCAAATTTATATAGAGAGAAGGAAGAAACTACAGGTCCACTCCTCAAAATGACCGCAACTGCCAGGCCTGGACCAGGCCAAGAGCCAGGAGCCAGCAGCTTCTTCCAGGTCTCACATGTAGGTGCAGGGTCCCAAGCACTTGGGCCCATCCTCTGCTGCTTTCCTAGGCCTTTTAGCAGGGAGCTGGATTGGAAGTGGAGCAGTCAGGACTTGAACCGGTATCCACATGGAATACAGACACTGCAGACAGAGGCTTAAGCTACTACGCCACAGTGTCGGCCTAAGAATGAATTCTTTACTGAATTATATGCAAAGATTCAGAAAACTGAACTTGTATCAATTTACTGTGGTTCACTGTACACTAAGTTCATTCTGTCTTGTGTGCCTTTACAATAGAAAGTAAATCTAATGGGGCATCTGAGAAGGAACTGGGAGCACAAAATCAAGTTCACCAATTATAGAGTCCAAGTTAAAGTGAGAAAACAGGGTCCTGCGTGGTAGTCTAGCAGCTAAAGTCCTTGCCTTGAATGTGCTGGGATCCCATATGGATGCTGGTTTTGATCCTGCCAGTCCTGTTTCCCATCCAGCTCCCTGCTTGTGGCCTGGGAAAGCAGTCGAGGACAACCCAAGGACTTGGGACCCTGCACCCGTGTGGGAGGCCAGGAGGATGTTCTTGGCTCCTGACTTCAGATTAGCTCAGTTCTCACCATTGCGGCCGCTTGGGGAATGAATCAATGGATGGAAGATCTTCCACTTTGTCTTTCCTCCTCTCTGTATATCTGACTTTCCGATAAAAAAAAAAATAAATCTTATGAACTTTAAGTGTTCTAAAAATGTAATATTTTAAGAACACTAAAATGTTAAGTGTTGAAGCTGAGAGATGGATGAGTTCATTACACTTGTGACTAAGCTTTCAAAAAATAAATAAGGTAAATGTATTTGTTAAATCTAGCTTTAATAAACATGATTTATGTAGAATTCATATCTGGTCTCTAAGCAAGTAGACAAATTATTGTTCAAACATTATAATAGGTTTTTATTCTTAAATATGATATCAAAACAAAGTTATCTACAGATATCTACAGACATACAAATATTTAACATGTTTCAAAAAATACGTGTCAGAAGGAATATTTTGTTTTATTTTTATTACTATTTCACTGAGTATATGGCATTTCTTCTTCTCCCATAGATGCTCATAAATAACTTTAACATTTACTAATCAACAAAACTGGTATCTTTCAACAGGATTTAGACATTGTTTTTTCCAGTGCTTCAAACACCCTTCATGAGATGTAGGAACTTGAAAGATTTTAATGTAATTAACATGCATATAATTCATAATTTCCTCTGCATCATATACTTTCATTTGGTTACATTTTATCAATGAGGTTGAACCAATTTCAATCCTCATTTTAGTTTTGATATGGTCAAAATTTAACAGCTTTTAAAGTTTGTTTCATAAATTGCCTTATGAATTTATAGAATACCTCTGGAAAAATATACTTAGAATAGATAATACTGATTGCTTTCAAAGAAGAAAATGGGATTAGAAGTACATTTTTTACTGTTATCTTTCTGTACCTTTTGATTTGTGTGTGTGTGTGTGTGTGTATATAAACCTATTTTATTTTTTTAAATTTTAAAATAGGTGAATCTATCCTATTCAAAAATTTTTAGTGTTTTCTGTTTGTTTGTTTGTTTGAAAGGCAGAGCAAGAGACAGAGTGAAAGAGAGGAAGAGAAAGAGACACATCCTCTGCTAGCTCGCTCCCCAAGCAGCTCCAATGATGGGCACGGGGCAGGATGAAGGTAGGAGGCAGAAACTCTATTGGGATCTCCCACGTGAGTGGCAGGAGCCCAACCATCTGCTGCCAATATGGGTACACTAGCAGATAGCTGGATCAGAAGCAGCACAGCGGGAACTCAAACCAGAGCTCCAAAGAGGGATGCTGGCACTGCAAACAGCGGTTTGTCCTGCTGTGCCAACTCAACACTAAAATTTTTTTAAACTCAATTAACAGTAGAAAATATCAAAAATATGGACTAAAATAAAGATGAAACTGAAATTACCTGTAAACTTTTTCGTTTTTGAAGATTAACTATCCAGAAGGCAAAGTTAGAGAGAGAGAGAAGGGGAGACACAGAAATCTTCCATCTGCTATTCCATTCCCCAAATGGTTGCAATGGCCAGGGTAAGGACAGGCCAAAGCCAGGAGCCAGAAATTCCATCTGGGTCCTCAAGCACTTAGGCTGTCTTCCACTGCTTTTCCAGGCACCGTAGCAGGGAGCTGGAGTAGAAACAGAGTGACTGAGACTCAAATTGGTGCCCTTATAGGACTTTGGTAGCAGCCTAACCCACTGTGCCAATAATACCAGTCCCATCTCTTTGCCTTGCAAATTTTTATATCCTTCAACTCAGTCTTTTTCCTACATCTACACACACATATAAATATATAAATAGTATATAACATTTTCATGTTATATAATATATATTACAAATATAATATATGTGTGTGTATATATCTTTAAAGCTTTTTTATTTATTGGAAAGGCAGATTTTTTTAAAAAAATTTATTTTTATTGCAAAGTCAGACACAGAGAGGAGGAGAGACAGAAAGATCTTCCGTCAGATGATTCACTCCCCAAGTGATCACAACAGCTGGAGCTGAGCTGATCCAAAGCCAGGATCCAGGAACTTCCTCCAGGTCTCCCATGTAGATGCAGGGTCCAAGGCTTTGGGCCGTCCTAGACTGCTTTCCCAAGCCACAAGCTGGGAGCTTGATGGGAAGTGGAGCCACCGGGAGTAGACCCAGTGCTCATATGGGCTCCTGGCGCATTCTAGGTGAGGACTTTAGCCACTAGGTCGTGGCGCCGGTCCCCAGAAAGGCAGATTTGGAGAGATAAGGAAACACAGAGATAAAGAGATAAAGATCTTCCATCTGTTGGTTCACTTTCCAAGTAGCCACAATGGCTGTGGCTAAGCTGATCTGAATCCAGGAGCTGGGAGTTTCTTCCAAGTCTCCCACATGGATACAGGGTCCCAAGGCTTTAGGCCATCCTCGACTGCTTTCCCAGGCCACAACTAGGGAGCAGCTGGGACACAAACTGGTGCCCACATGGAATCCCAGTGGTTGCAAAACTAGGATTTAGTCACTAGGCCACTGGGCCTTTCTACATGTATTTTTAAGAACTTGAAACACATAATTGTTATTTTTTACTCCTGTTAACATTATATAGGATAGCACATTACATGTTACTAAGTAAAAAAACTTGAAAAGACATAATATTGTGGCCAATATTACGGTATAGCAAGGTAAGCTTCTTACTGCAGTGCCAGCATCCCATATGGGTGCAGTTCAAGTCTTATCTGCTCTGCTTCTGATCCTGCTCCTTGCTAATGGCCAGAGAATGAGCAGAAGATGGCCCAAGTACTGGGGTCCTTATACCAATGTGGGAGACCTAGGCTGTGGACTTGTACAGTTCCAACCTTTGAGGCCATGGGGAAAACAAACCAGTGGTTGGAAGATATCTCTCTCTCTCTCCTCTTTAACTATTCCTTTCAAATAAAAAAAATAAGCCTTTTATAAAAAGATATAATATTTAATTAGGCACACAGACCTACTGTTGTAATTCCTAAATAAGTTTAGAAATAAAACCCAAAGAATATAGAATCAATACTTATTTAGCATCCACTTGCTATGAACCTTTTCTTTTTTCTCTTTGAGGAAGGAAAATGAGAAAATTAGTCTTCCCACGAGTTTTTTTATTATAGCATTGACAGGTAAGGACTTTGACCTATGAGAGCAAAGGTCCAAAGTTCAAACAGCAGAGAAAGTGCCATGGTAACTATAGGTATTCAATAAGTATTGAGCAGCGGTAATGACAAAGTAGTACGGATATTGTGTTTAGAAATAATGGGAAAATACAAGAGATAAGACGGCGTCTCCTTGAGGGAATTACTGTGACACAGCATCATTAAGAAGTCTTGGATAGCCAGTGATTGGATATAGCTAATCTTATGGGTATAAGTAGCCATAGAACTAAACAGCATTACAACTAATTGGTCATTTAGACCATCTTGAAAATAAATATCTCCCACTGAGACCTAACAGGCTCTGCATTGATCAACAATCAATAAAGCTGTTAAAGTGACTGGATTGGTTTTACACCAGTCTAGTAATTTAGTGCCATAGAAAGAATCAGTGGATTATTTGGACTGTCTCAGTGAAACAGTATTTTGGTAACCAAGGAAAAAAAGAACAATGCCAAGTTTGAAACAAGGGGCAAGTGTTAACAAATTGACTTCAGTGTTAATAGATTTATTCCAGTAGAGTAAGATTTCAGCTGACTAAGGTGAATTTCTAGAATACCATATATATATATTTTTTTTTTTTTCCTACCAGACACTGCATTTCCAGGCAGGCGACTATTAGGAGTGGAGAGAATACAGTATCAATGTTGAGGGAGGCAAATTCTGAGTAACAGAAATTTCTGAATCTAACATCAGGTGGGTTATCTAGCCTCCTAGATTAATAACAATTTTGGAGTACCTAAATTATGATCTGTGGAGTTTCCTGTTCCTTTAGGAGATTGAAGAGTTACTGCAAGGTACTTACCAGTTGGAGCAAGGTGTAAGCTCCTTCACTGGATTCTTTAATCGTTCTATCAGGTAATGAACACCGTATGTCTGTTTTATTTAAACTCTGTGCTAAGGAATCATATCCTTTGATTATATTACCTCAAGTTGGCCTTGTGCACGGTAACCTAATCAGAGCCAAATTTCTACCAATTAAGCCTAAACCCAAACAGCTGAGACTCAAAATAAGCAGTTGGCTGGCAATTCGGAGCTTGTTGCTGTACTCAGCAGAGTAAGAAATCCACATTGCGAGATGCAGGCAAGAGGGATCACTTGGTAGTCACTCTTGGGTGTCTACTCAGTGACTGGTCCTATGACAACTACTTCACTTAAATTCTTCTTATGCTCTCATTTTTCTTTTTGCTTAATATATATAATAAATTCACATACAGTATGCAAGTAAATGTATACATAACTGACGCAAGTAGAGGAATTATGTTTCTGTATTTCTTACTGCACCATATCATTAAAGAATGAAGACCCCAGATACCAATGATTTCATAACAGGAATGTCAACACTCAAACCAGAAACTAAATTTGAGAATTTATATGCTATTATTCAAACAAAAAAGCAAAAAACTGGCAAATCTGATATTAATTTCTAACACAAACACCAAAATATCTCACCTGCAGGATATATTGTGTGAGATTGACTGCTTCTTTTTTCTCATGTACAAGTAGAGTTTCTTTGTCTTCTACAGTAATGATATTAATTTCTCCACGACGTACTTCCCTTAGGGCCAGAGGGCGCTTGCGAACACAAACTCTGATTTTCTCCATCTCAGTCCAAGTTTTCTCTTTCTCTGAGGTGTTCTGTCTGGTATGTTGGTAAACAGGCTTTAATTAATAACAGTATATTTTGTTGTAGTATTAGGAATAATATTAACATCTATTTACTTATTTTCATTTATTTGAAAGGCGAAGTGACAGAGAAAGAAAAGATTTTCCAAGGTCATGCCAGGGTGAAGCCAAGACTCCAGAACTCTATTTGGGTATTCCACAAGGGTAGCTGGGGCTCAGGTATCTGATCCACCATTCACTGACTACCAGCATACATTAGCAAGAAGTGGAATCTGAAGCAGAGTAACCAGCCATGGACATCCTCAATGGTGGCTTTACCCACTGTGCCAATACTCACCCCTGAGCATGATAGAGTTTCACATGTTACATATTGGGGTGATTAGTTGGCTTAGCAGTTAAGATGCTGCTTGGGATGTCCACATTTCTGACTGGAGTGTCGGATTCCACTCTGGGCTCTACCGCCAATCCAAGTTCCCTACTGATGGGCATGTGGGGAGGTGGCAAGCAAAGGCTCAAATACTTGGATTCCTCACTCGGATTGCGTTCAGTGCTCCTGGCTTCAGCCTGTCCCAGTCTTGGCTGCTACAGGTGTTTGTGGTGTGAACCAATAGATGAAAAAAATCTCTCTGCCTTTCAAGTGGAAAAAAAAAAGTGAAAGTATATATTTAAAATGAACCACTGTGAAAGCTATTTTAAAAATAATTTAAAGTATATTTGTTCATTTATTTAAGAGGTAGAAACAAGAGAAAGAAACAGGCAGTATGATGGAGGAAATCCTAGTTGTTGGTTCACTTCCCCAATGTCTGCAGTAGCTGAGGCTGGGCCCAGCTGAAGCTGTGAGTTGGGAACCCAATTCAAGTTTCCTACAGGGATAGTAGGGATCCTGTTACTTAAGTTCCCCCTGTGGCTTCCCAGATCATTCATTAGCATGAAGCTGGAATCAGGAACCAGCAGTGGACTCAAACAAAGGCTGAAACCCAGAGACTACAAATATGAGACGGGACTCTTAATCACTAGGTCAGATTCTCTCTCTAGAAGATTCTTTCATTAGCTAAATCCCAATTACTTCTATATCCATCCCTACTTCATCAATTTTTATATAGAACAAAACAACACAAAAGAAAAATCCCTTCAGGAACTGTTCTAGCTCTGAGACATATTCGGCTTCTATACATGATTTGCTAATGGTGAACGCTCCTTACATTCCCAAAACTCAGGTTGGTTAATTCCCCCAATCTAACGCAATATGTTGTTACCATCTCTCTAAGACCTTTACACAACCCAATCCCATGCCTCTTATTACCTTTCAATCCAGTTATTTTTTCATATTTACCACTTTCTTAATCATTAGTACAATTTTTATCCTGCCTGTAAATTCCATAAAGTAGGTGCTAAGTATCAATATTTCTACTGTTCCTCTCAGATATATTCTTTTGCTCTCAATGTTTCCTACTTCCTCTTTTTATGCACTCCTGACACGTGTGTGTGTTTGTGTATTAAAACACAATCAAGTCTTTCCAGAAAAATTTTATGGCTATTCACCTTCAATTCAACCTTCTATTCAGATGCGTTCTTTCATTGGTTTCAGTGAACTACTCAACCTTAACATTTAGAGTGATATTCCTTTGCTTAGGGATGCAAAGTTCACCAAGTTTACTCGCTGAACCTAATGACAGTCTCATCTAAGAATTGACCATTTATTAGAAACTCCTCTAAAACTAGGAAGCAAGAAAACAGGGTTCTTGAACACAGGTGTTTTATCAGGATCAACGCCTTTGGCTCATGTACTAAGAATGCTTTAGCAAAACAAACTACTCCCTCTTTCACATGATAAAATTTTATTAACAGTCCTTAAAAATCCTTTCATAATAGGGCTAATATAAGCTCCTGTTCTATATAATTGCTTCATGTCAATTTTGATTTTCTGAACCTTCCAAGTGACTGGAATATTATTTTTTGCCAGAATGTAAATTAGCAAAAAACAAAACCCTAGAAATAATTATTTTTAGATTTTTTTTAATTTTTATTGCAAAGTCATATATACAGAGAGAATGAGAGACAGAGAGAAAGATCTTCCGTCCACTGATTCACTCCCTAAGTAGACACAATGGCCAGAGGCTGAGCCAGTTCAAACCCAGGAGCCAGGGGCTTCCTCTGGGTCACCTGCATTGGTGCCGGGTCCCAATGCTTTGGGCCATCCTCGACTGCCTTTCCCAGGCCACAAGCAGGGAGCTTGATGGGAAGCAGGGCGGCGGGGATTAGAACCAGTGCCCATATGAGATCCTGGCACACGCAAGGTGAGGAATTCAGCTGCTGGGCTACCGCACCAGGCCCTACAAAGAAAATGTCTAAAATAAAGTATTTAAAAAAAATTTTTATATATTTGAATTTCACAAGAAAGGAAATTATAATGTATCATTTAAAAATAAGCTTTTTAGAAAAGATCCATTTATTTGAAAGGTCAAATGATACAGAGGGAAAGACAGAGAGAGGTCTTCTACTCACTGTAACAGAAAGGTCCAGGCCAATACTATGAGTCAGGAACTCCACCCTGATCTCTCACATGGGTGGTAGAGACACAAATATTCATGCCATGTTTTCTACATTAGCAGGAATCAGGTTGGAAACAGTAGCCAGGACTAACGAGCATTCCAATGCAGGATGTCAGTGAAGCAGGCCACAGCCTAACCTATTTAGACTCCAGCCCCTACTGCATCACTTAAAAAGTGGTTCTTGTGTCAAAGCCTCTCATTAATAATCTAATCATATGCAACTAATCCAAGAGCACAGGAAAAATATTGACCTTTATTCACCCTAGAACTTTTTTCAATAGGAGGCAGAAAAACAGAGCACAAGTGTGAGATCCACTGGCTTATTTCCCAGATGCTCATAGCCCAGCCCTCCCACACGGCTAGCAGAAATCCAACTACTCATGCCATCACCTGCTGCCTCCCAGGGCTGGTACTGGAAGACAAAGCCAGAACCACAACAAAAAAAAACTCCCGTATACCCAGGTATCCTAGCTTTCATCTTCGTCTTATTTATTATTTTTTGTTTTATTTTCTTGTTAATTTATCTTATTTTTTTTTAAAGATTCATTGCTTTTCATTGGAAAGGTAGATATAAAAAGAAAAGACAGAAAGATCTTCCGACTGCTGGTTCACTCCCCAGTGGCTACAAAGGTCGGCGCTGAGCTGATTAGAAGCCAGAAGTCAGGAGATTCTTCCGGGTCTCACACACAGGTGCAGGATCCCAAAGCTCTGGGCCATTTTTCACTGCTTTCCCAGCCCACACGCAGGGAGCCAGATGGGAAGTAGAGCAGTTGGGACACAAACTGATACCCATACAGACTCCAGGTATGTGCAACGTGAGAACTTTGGCCACTGGACTACTGTGCCTGAACTCCTAGGTTTCATCTTAACTGTAAAACCAAATACCTGTCCCTAAATCTTCTGAAAATGTAAAGAGAACTCAAGATGAGTAGTCAATGAAAAAAAGACCTGTAGTTCTTAAATTCAAAGGGAAAGAAGGAATGCCTGTTCATCTTTTTAAAGAAGCCAGCTTCGGGCCCAGTGCCGTGCCCTAGCGGCTAAAGTCCTCACCTTGAACCTGCCGGGATCTTATATGGGCGCCGGTTCTAATCCCGGTGGTTCCACTTCCCATCCAGCTCCCTCTTTGTGGCCTGGGAAAGCAGTTGAGGACCGCCCAAAGCCTTGGACCTTGCACCCGCATGTGAGACCCGGAAGAGGATCCAGGCTCCTGGCTTTGGATCGGTGCAGCACCAGCGGTTGTGGCCACTTGGGGAGTGGATCAAAGGATGGAAGATATTTCTCTCTGTATGTCTGACTTTGCAATAAAAATATAAAACCTTTTAAAAAAAAAAGCCAGCTTTAATGCTTACTCTTTTCTAGAATATAAATGTGTTACATTTTTATTAAAGTCCTGAGGCAAGCCATTTATTTTCAACTTTTTGAGTATCTAATAAGTAAAAATCTGCTTTGAGGTAACCAGAGAATTTCTTTGGCTGATTCCCTAACAGTAATTCTTAAGCTGGTAAGAGGATTTTGCATGGTTCCAAAACCCTGACTACTACTTGGGGTCAGGGTGAGAAGACAATATTGAAGATCATTGGAGAAAATGTCCCTTCTTATCTTCACCTCCCTAACATAACTTTTTTTTAATTTATTTTTATTGGAAAGGCAGATAAGCAGAGAGGAAGATCTTTCATCAGATGGTTCCCTCCCCAAGCGGCTACAACGGTTGGAGCTGAGACAATCCAAAGCCAGGAGACAAGAGCTTCCTCCGGGTCTCCCACGCAGGTGTAAGAACCCAAACCTCTGGGCCATCCTCAACTGCTCTTCCAGGCCATAGGCAGGGAGCTGGATGGGAAGCGGGGCTGCTGGGATTAGAACCGGCAGCCATATGGGATTCCGGCTCATTCAAGGTGAGGACTTTAGCCGCTATTGTATTGTGCCGGGTCCCATAACATAATCTTTTAAACAGGAAAAATAATGTAAGAAAGCACAGTCCAACAGACTCTACTCTGGCTCTGTCATTTCCAAACATCTATAGGGTACTTAAAATATTCTTATATAGAACTGAGCCTAGGGCCCGGCGCGGTGGCGCAAGTGGTTAAGTCCTCGCCTTGCACGCCCGGGATCCCATATGGGCGCCGGTTCTAATCCCGGCAGCCCCGCTTCCCTTCCAGCTCCCTGCCTGTGGCCTGGGAAAGCAGTTGAGGACGGCCCAAAGCTTTGGGACCCTGCACCCGCGTGGGAGACCCGGAAGAGGCTCCTGGCTTCGGATCGGCATAGTATCGGCCCGTTGCGGCTCACTTGGGGAGTGAATCATCGGATGGAAGATCTTCCTCTCTGTCTCTCCTCTCTGTATATCCGCCTTTCCAATAAAAAATAATAAAAATAAATCTTTAAAAAAAAAAAAAAAAAGAAAAGAAAAAAAAAAAAAGAACTGAGCCTAGCAGAGAGGGTACTTAATTTTTGTCAAATAAACAAAATGACAATTTCTAAACTAAAGTATCCATTTAATCTTGATGGGGGTTAATTGGAAAGTCAGATCTACAGACTGAAGGAGAGACAGAGGGAAAGATCCTCCATCCGTTGGTTCACTCTCCAAGCGGCTACAGTGGCCAGAGCGGAGTCAATCCGAAGCCAGTAGCCAGGAGCCTGGAGCCTCCTCTGGGTCTCTCACATGGGTGCAGGGTCTCAAGGCCTTGGGCTGGGCCCCTCTGCCTTCCCAGGGCACAAGTAGGGAGCTGGAAGAGAAGTGGAGCAGCCTGGACACCAATCGGTGTCTGTAGGGATCCTGGGTGTGCAAGGTGAGGACTTTAGCCATTAGGTTACCATGCCAGGCTCAAAGTAATATCTTAGTAAGTCATTTTAATTTAATTTTTTGTGTTGCTCAATAAAAGATGGTAGTAGTCAAAGTGTTCTTTCACAATGAACTAATCAACAGGATAGCAATAATCATTTTCACAGTCATGTGGCAATCTAGTTCTCGAAGAATCATCAGAAGCAAATAGTATTACATATTCTGTGTTTAACTAGAAGAAACAAAGTTTTCAGATTACTAAGGGTGCTATCTTTTAGCTTTAAAACCAAGTTTTTTTTTTTGAGTAAAAGAATTGGTTATGAAATGCTATGAAACCTTTCATATCTTATTACAAATGATATTTTAAAAAGAAAATAGAGCTTAACAATTTTATTTCCCCACAACTTATACAGATAACTTATAACATAAATCCAGCAACAGCTTTTTCTTTAAGAACGCATTTCCTGTTATACCAGTTACTAGCAGATTGATATTTCACCTTTCTAGGAATCTTATTTCAAAATGTAACCCAAAGCACTAGGTGAAAATAACTGAGCATCACTCTCTCAAATTCAGATCTTCACCAAATGTTCTGATTCTTTGTAATCACAAGCATCATGTTTTCCTTGGCTAGAATTACAGAAAGCACCCAAAAATCAGGATCATCTGACAATGCATGCAAATAAGTTGCTCCAAAGACTGACTTCATTCAACTACATCTCTTTGGTTTTTAACTAAGCTGTAAGCCTCCTGGTTGGTTTGAGTGAATTTGATGGCCTTACTAAATAATTAAATAAATAAATCCTGAAGATTTTGTAATCTCTTTCTGTTTCCATTATAGAAAATCAGTCAACATTTCACTTTCACAGATGCACCAGATATATCATGTTACACTACAATAAATAATAGAAATAGATCTGCTATAGGAGTAACCGATCTGGCAAAGAGCAGCTGTTTGATGCCCACGAACAATATCATCTTTCTCCCATCTGGAAAGCTTCGTATAATACCTCACTGTCTCCCATCCAGGCATTCCTACTATTAATTCCAAAGCTGTTCACTATCATTTTTGTTATATTCATTTACTGTAAATAAGGAATTGCTCTCTTCTGGTCATGAAGGGCAGATCTATCCCTGCCCAAGGTTGCTGTTTCTCTAAAACAGAAATAAAGCATAGAAAATTCTTACCTGACACAGGAATGAGGAATTCCATAGTTATATCCTGATTCACGACAGACTCTTTGAATAACAGGAATGTCACAATCTCCCAATATTGGAGAAAAGGGATTTGATGAGGAGAATGAAGAGTTGATTTTTGTTTGCACATAGGAATCAGCAGTTGTGGCGTTCAGAGTTCTTGTTTTTGTATGGTACTGCGAATCACCTGGCAACATGTGTTCCAGAACTTTTAGATGAGTATACTTCTGTTCAGTTGTAGGGAAATTTGACAAACTGCACGTTTCAAAACCAATACTGCTGGGAGTTCTGCTTTCCTTGTTAGTAGGAGAATCAAAATTTAATTGTCTGCGAGGGCCAGATTTGAATTCATAGGGTTTGGTATACAGGCTGTTTGTCTGAAGGGAATTCTTTGGGCTAATGGCTGCTTTATCTTTTTCCTGCATAATCTTAATGATTTTGATAAGTTGGAAGAGACGTTTGCGGTCATTCATGTCACGAACTCCCAATTTGGTGTAGTCCTTCATTGTAATCTTGGCTAATTCATCTACTTTCTGAAGGCCAAGAGCAGTAAAATGAGGATAATACTGTGAAAGTTCAGCTTCACAAAGACATTCATATAACCAGGATGCCATTTTTGTGAATTGGTTTTTATAAACTCTGAGAGAGAAAAAAAAGAGTAGTTCATTTGAAGTAAAGAAAACCAAAAAACATGTTGAAAGACATCCTTATATTAAGTTGTCAATAAATGTATTTTCTTTTGAAATGACTGAATAACACCATAGCAAATAAGCACTTTGTACAGCATATGAAGCTTTATAGTAACATCTACTTGATTCATCTACTTAACAAAAGTAGCCTTTTAATTAGATACAAAGATAAGCAGAAATACACATAATACTTACTTATTTCTAGGCAGAGTTCCTTCCAATCTTGCAATGTCGTTTTGACACATGCCACAAACTACTGAAACCTTGTTCTCAGCTACTGATTATACAGGGACTAATTTTAGATATTCAACTTAATGTCAAGGCATGTCGCACAACTGTTTCCTGTGATTAATGAACAAAGGCTAAGAACTCTTTCAGAATAGAAAGTAGAATCAAATAGAAGACCACACGGAATTATAAACTAACACAGCCCAAACGAAACTGGACGTATATGTGCTGAATACTGGCAAAAATCAGTTAAGCAGAAATAGAAACATCAATTCAGAACCAATTAATTCAGGATTTCAGACTATTTTAAAACATTGCCACTAATGCCTACACATACAGAACATGAACCAAATAATTTATCCAGGGAGTAAGTATAGTCTGTATTTTAAATGGGTACACATTAAAATGTTCAATCATTTAAAAATTTTAAATACTTAATAAATGATATGGTCATAATATAATCTTAGTCTGCTGATTAAAGTCAGGAGCTTGAATTCTCTAAAACATTATTAATAAAATTCAAGTTCCCAATACTTAAGTAAATTTTATTTTGTTTTTAAAAATTGTTTTATAATTGGGCCCGGTGCGATGGCGCAGTGGTTAAGGTCCTCGCCTTGCACACCTGGGATCCCATATGGGCACCGGTTCTAATCCCAGCAGCCCTGCTTCCCATCCAGCTCCCTGCCTGTGGCCTGGGAAAGCAGTCGAGGACGGCCCAAAGCTTTGGGACCCTGCACCTGCGTGGGAGACCCGGAAGAGGCTCCTGGCTTCGGATTGGCTCAGCTCTTGCTGTGTGGTCGCCTGGGGAGTGAACCATGGGACGGAAGATCTTCCTCTCTGTCTCTCCTCTCTGTATATCCACCTTTCCAATAAAAATAAAATCTTTAAATAAAAAAAAATGTTTTAGAATTGTTCTTAAGATTCAGTTAGTTAACTGCTGGTAAAACCTCGCTGTTTTTCATTTTTCTTAAGATCGATTTTGAAAGAGTGAATTAGTGGATAGAAGATCTTTGTCTCTTTGTGAATCTGTCTTCCTGAATAAAAATAAATATATCTTTTAAAAAATCTGTCATGTGAAGAAGTTCAGCCAACAGTCATCTCCAAAGCCACACATCCAGCCCCTCTTGGCACTACTAGATGACTGTAGTCACATGAAAGATCCCAAGAGTAAACAGAAAAACTACCTATGCCTAGCCCAAATACCTGACTCACAGAACTTTGAACAATGTCTTAAAAAGATTTATTTGCTTACTTATTTATTTATAAGAGAGAGACAGAGAGAATATCTTCTGTCCACTGATTCACTACCCAAACAGCCACAATAGCTGGAACTGGGCCATAGAGCTGAAACTCCAGCTGAGCCTCCTATGTGGGTGGGTGGTAGGGGCAGAAGTACATGGCCATCTGCTGCTTTCACAGGCACCATTCCAGAGAGCTGGACTGAAAGCACGGCAGCTGGGACTTTAGGCATTGCAATATAGAATGCCAAAGTTGTGACAACTTAACCTGCTGAATCACAATGACGGCCCCAGTTAACTGAGGCTACTAGATTTGGGAGTAGACTGCTACACAGCAGTAGATAATAATAAATTGTCCTTTAAAAAATATTTTTACTGGGGTCAGTGCTGTCAAGCCTCCGTGTACAGTGCTGGTATCCCACATGGGCACCAGTTCGTGTCCTGTTTGTTCCACCTCTCACCCAGCTCCCTGGTTATGCCCCGGGAAATCAGTGGAGGATAGCTCAAGTCCTCGTGCCCTTGCAGCCCTGTGGGAGACCAAAGGAAGTTCCTGCCTCCTGGTATCAGATTGGCTCAGCTGCATCCATTTGCAGTCAATTGGTGGAGTGAACCAGCAGATGGAAGCTCTGTCTCTCTAGAAATCAAGGTTGATGATTGCTGACTTTTTAGAGTATTTCTAATATAGTGACTATGAGTATACTAGAGGAAAGGTAGCAAATCTGTAGTATAATAATACACATCATAAAAAATACACATCATAAATGAGAAATATTCATGCTGTTCTTCTCTTCTGTACCCATGGTAAATAATTTCAATTATGATGTTTCATTTACTTCTTTACTAATGTAATTTATTTGCAAAGCAGAGTGACAGAAGAAAAGACTAATGAGAGGATAGATATTCCAGCCAATGATTTACTCCACAAATGACGCCAACAGCCAAGACTGGACCAGGCCAAAGCCAGGATCTAGGAGCTCCTTCATAGCCCCCTTCATGTGACAGACACCCAGTCCTCAAGCATCGTTTGTTGCTTCCCAGGCACATTAGCAGCAAGCTGGAACAGAAGTAGAGGAGGGGCTTGATTCCAGGCATTCTGATATGGGTTGCAGACATCTCAAGTGACAGCTTAACCCACTGTGCCACAAAGGATCCCTATTTTGATATTTCCATTTTAAAGATTATTTTATTTTTATGTGAAAGGCAGAGTTACAGAGAGGAGAGATGGAGAGATCTTCCATCTGCTGGTTAACTCCCCAAAAGGCTATCAATAGCCAGAGCTGAGCCGATCCAAACCCAGGAGCTTCCTCCTGGTGTCCCACGTGGGTTCACAGTCCCAAGGACTTGGGCTATCCTCTGCTGCGTTTCCAGGGCATCAACAGGGAAACAGATTGTAAGTAGAGCAGCCAGAACAGAAACTGGTGCCCACATGGGATGCCAGTGCCTCATATGGAGTCTTAGTCTAACATCCCAGTGTCAACCCCAGATATTTTTAAATTAAGCCTGAACCAGCCTCAGAACACCCCTTCTTTTGGTGTATGTGCATGATTGTATACAGTTCCCTGAGTTGTGAGATCTGTGTTCACCTGTGAAACCAACACAACTAAAATATGGAATATTACCATTAGCCTCAAAAGATTCTTCATACGTTGTTACATTTCATCCTTCCCTCTGCCCTAAGCAACTCCTAATTTATTATTTGTCATTGCATGTTATTTGCATTTATTGAATTTTATATAAACAGGTGATGGGCATTCTGCCCTAGCAACTAATATGCCTGCATCCCATTACTAGAGTGCCTGGGTTTGGTTCCTTATTTCCTGCTAATGCAGACCCTGGGAGGCAGCGGTAATGGCTTAATTAGGCTACATTCAGAGACCTGCATTGCATTCCTGGCTCCAGCTTTGGCTTGGACCCAGCCCCAGTTCCAAGCATTTGGAAAGTGAACTAGCTAGAGGGGCCTCGCTCTCAAGTAAGTATAAGTAAACCTCAAGTAAATGGAATTATATATCAACTTTGTATCCGGCTTTCTTTACTTAGCATAGTGATTTTGAATTTAAATGTGATGCATGTGTCACTGTTTTACCGAGGAGAAAGATCCACAATGTATTAGCAGTTCACCAAGATCTCATCTGCCAAGTGACAGTCCTTAGGTGAGTCCTAAAGATGAGACCTTAGGCCTTCTCATGTTCTCCCCATGTCCTTTCCACATCTCCACGCTATGTCATCTCCTTCAAGCAGTGTGCCAAAAGCAGCCCCAGTGTGCCAATCCCCGAACAGATTCAGCGACCACCCTGCTAGGCACACTGTATGTTGCATAATCTCACAGCTTGTCACTACCAGGAAAACATCCTAAAAATCAGGGAAATCCAGAGAAGAAAGGATAAGTTTTCACATGTGGAACCCACTGGAATTCAGTGTCTCAACTATACAGCAGTCTCCTCTGTGACTGCTAGGTGTCAACTGCTGAAGTAACCAAGAGAAAGTCTTGGAAGAAATCTAGCAGACAGAAATTCCAACTTTTTGTCCTGATGGCAAAGGAAATCAAGCAGAAAGAGAGTACACAACAAAATGTAGCTGGGATGTAGATTAGACCCAACTATACATGCTCCCTCAAATTCTACATTCCTCTACCTAAACTTGAACTCTACCTGCTTGAACCGGCTGCTTGACATCCAGAAGCTTTTAATCTCTCAGCTGTGTTACCTTAGGCAAAGTCACTTAGTTTTGCTGAGTTCCACTTCTCTTAGAGTATATTGTGAGGATAAAATAAGATACATACAATGACTCTGAAACTGCAATACACTCAAGAATGGGGGCATACTGTCTAATTTATTAAAAACAAATGATGTACTGTATGAAAGACTTGTAACACTATTAAAAGACATTTTTTATCATGAAATTGAGCAAAGGTGAATGTAAACAATCAAAAGCTCCTTCTTGGTGGCAGCAGCTGAGACAGGAGAGACTCACTGCTTTCCCAGGCTTCAACTGATTCTTGGCATGGTCCATGCAAATCAATGAGAACTTGCTTACCAGAGAAACATGAAGAAAACAGCTGGATCAATTAGCTAGTCCTTCACCTCCAAGTGCAGGGACTCCATATAGGCACCAATTTGTGTCCCAGCTGCTCCACTTCCCATCCAGTTCCCTGCTTGTGGCCTGGGAAAGCAGTCAAGGACGGCCCAAAGCCTCGAGACCCTGCACTCCTGTGGGAGACCTAGAAGAAGCTCCTGGCTTCAGATTGGCTCGGTTCCAGCCATTGCAGTCATTTGGGGACTAAGTCAGTGGATGGAAGGCCTTTTTGTTTTTTCTTCTCTTTGTAAATCTGCCTTTCCAATAAAGATAAATCTTAAAAAAAAAAAAAAAAAGGATATTTGCAAAGAAAAAAAGAGGAGAGCTTGACTACTTCTCAGAGAAAACAGGAATTTTCAAATAATGAGAAGTCTATGTAGATAAGAGAAAATTGTGACTGGCTATTTGGAAAACCTGGATGCTACTGTTAAATGGATGTTATCACAATTGTAAGATTAAGATTTTGCAGCATGAACAATCATTATATATTTTATTTGAAAGGCAGGGTTACACAGAGGAGAGACAGTTCTACCATCCACTGGCACACTCCCTAAATGGCCACATGGTCAGAGCTGAGCCTATCCAAAGCCATGAGCCAAGAACTTCCTCTCAGCATTCCACATGAGTACAGGGTTCTAAGGCTTTGGGTATTCTCTGCTCTGTTCCCAGACCACAAATAAGGAGCTGGGGTGGGAAGTGGAGCAGCTGGGACATGAACTGGTGCCCACATGGGATGCCAGCATCATATTGCAGAGGATTAGTCTGTTGAACCATGGTGCCAGCCCCTACATCTTTTCTTTA